GATTAAAACCTACGACCTTAGGAGGAATATTCCTATATACTACTATATTTATTAATAATATTCATAGATACTACTTTATATTATTTATTTATAATCCTCCTTTATAAATTCTAATAATTCGTCCAATTTCCTATTTATAAACGCTAGCCTCCTATTAACTATTTAATATTAAAAACCCTAATTACAATTAGAAGAGGGGGTAATATAAGTAGGAGAATTCAGTATAGAAATATTTATAGGAGAGCCGCTATTATTAGTAATAGGACCGCTAATAGGGGCTACCGGATTAATATTAATATTAATATTATTAATACTATAGTAACTAAATCTCAAATAGCCCTTACAATCGAAGTTCCTAGTTCGGAGTATATTAAATAACGTTATAGGGAGACTATTATTAATAAAGCGCGCCTATATTATAATTTAAAATACTACTACGGACCAACGTAACTATTATAGGAAGGGGGTAGGTAGGGGGCTACCGGTATTAATAAAGCGTATAATCTCGGCTATTATATTTTATATATTATTCTAAAGGTTATAAATACTGCGGGGGACTTCGAGTATGTAGCGGCGTAGCGATAGTGAATACTACGATCTCTCGTTGAATTCTAGAAGGGGAAGACGTTAGTAAAAAAAAAAAAAAAAAAAAAAAAAAAAAAAAAAAAAAAAAAAAAAAAAAAAAAATAGGGGAGATAATAAGGGGTAAATAACGTACCTTTAATTTAATAAGTATACATACTAATTAAACAGAATACTTCGTATAGGTTTAAGGCTAGGGTATTAATAAACGCCTAAGCTAAAACGATACTATATTTTAAATAAATAAGAGGGCGGATATTATTAAAGGATAAAAAAAAAGTAATTAATTAGAAGTTAATTACAAACGTAAAGCGAGAGGAAGGAGAGGATAGAGTAAAAAGGAAGAGAATAGGGAGGAAAAGCGAATATATTAATTAAACTTATAAAGGAGATAGGGATTAATATATAGGTATATAATAGAAATATATACGTTTATAATAGGGAGCAACTTGAATGAAGGGGTAAGCGAGGCGGTTATAGAATTAAAGGAGGGGGTAATAAATATAATTATAAAAGTAAAAATAAAAGGAAGAAGAGAAGAGAGGCGAAGAAGGTAGGTGGAAAGGACGTTATATAAATAAGGGAAGAGGTCCTTATACGAATATAAATTAAAGTAAGTAAATATAATTTAAAATAAGCGAATATAAAATAATATAGGGTAAATAGAATATTAAATAATTATATAAATAGTAGGAGGGGGTAAATAGAAAGATAGGACGAAGGTAATAATTAGAAGGGGAAGGATAGAACAAATAAATAATAGTAGTAATTATAAAAAAGTAGGAGGGAAAGGCGGAAAATAGGAAAGTACGTACCTCGGATTATAATAAGGAGAGTAGAGGAAGCGGTCAGGAATTATACCGTTAGAAAGGAGGGAGTAATACGAAAAATAAGGCGAAGGTAACGGGAAAGCGATTAGGAAGGAATAATATAAATAAGGGAGGTTTATAGAGGAAATAATATATAAAATTATAAGAGACGGAAGATAGAAACGAAAATCCCGAGGATAGAACCTATAGGGGGGGGGATTATATTTAAATATTATAATAGATTATAGTAAATATAAATAATAAAGAATAACCTACGAGAGGAACCTCGGGTTTTAATTATATAAATATTCTAAAATAAGTATAAATAATAAAAGGTACCCTACGAAAATATTAAATTATACTATAAATACGGATAACGGAGAATATTTAAAGGGAGGAACTATAGGGTATAATTATATTAATATTCTAAAGTACTTATTAATATTCTTAAATTCGGAATAGCACTCCTTATTAAGCAAAACGAAGTTTACTACCTTGTACACTTACGGAATAACGGTCTTAGTAATAATCGGGAACCCCGTTAATACTTTAAATTTAATAATAATTTTATATCTATATTTAGAATTTATAAGAATAAATATTATAATACCAATATTCTAACAGGCGGTACATTATAAAAATAAATATTATAATACTAATATTCTAACGGATAGCACGTTATAAAAATAAATATTATAATACTAATATTCTAGCGGGCGGAATACTAGCGCTTTATATTTAATAATAATTTTGTATCTATATTTAGAATTTACGAAAATAGATATTATAATACCGATATTTTAACGGGCGGTACATTATAAGAATAAACGTTACAATGCCGATATTTTAACAGGCGGAACGCTAAACGTTTAAACCTAATACTAGTTTCGTATTTACATTTAGAATTATAAAAATAGACATTACAATGCCGATGTTCTAGCGGGCGGTACGTTAATACTTTAAATTTAATACCAGGTTTGTACTTATATTTAGAATTTATAAAAATAAATATTATAATACTAATATACTAGTAGATGGAATACTAATTCTTTAAATTTAATACCGGCTTTGTAACCGTATTTAAAATTTATAAAAACGGATATTACAATACTAATACTCTAGTAGGCAATTTACTAGTAATAGAGCAGCTATAATCCAGAATATAATATTAGCGGCTATAACGAATAATGTCCGATAATACTATAATACCCAACGTTTATTATAAAAGTTCTAAAGACGGAACTTATAAGAGGGGGGGTTATATTAGGAGGCTAAAAATTTATATATAGAAGTACCTTAGCGGCTACTACTCCCCTTTATTAATAAAAGCGTAGGATTATTTATAATAACGCCTATTTTAGGTCGGACCCACAGGAAGGATAATCCAGCACCGCGCCGAAGCGCCAAACTAATATAAGGCTCTATAATACTCGTTAGCGGAGGAACAGAGTTTACACAAGTATAAAAGAGGTTCAACGGAACATATCTCATTATAATCGGTAGTTATTAATACATCTTTGGATTGACCCCTAACTTACCGTCCCCTACGTGCGGCTACGACCGTAGTCACTTCAACCTACCTTTCGCCTACGTTCCTGATACTTATCCGACCGAAATTTAATAATGCGTTCCCTATACGAACGGTGGCTATCGATTTTATAATAGGTTTACTAATTATATTAATTAAAGACTCCTTATAGAAGTTACTTAGTTAAAATACCTTTAATACCCTAATATTCGCTATTAATATAGTATTTAAGCGGATTTTACTTATTCTAAAATATTTAATTTATATAGTAAAGGAATAGAGTATAGCGTTTGTACAATCCTTTATCCTATTAAATTAAAGATTTCTATTAGGAATTATTTTTAACTAAAATAAAAAGTTCACTTCTAGTTTCTAGTAAAATATATAGTAAATATTAAATATATAATTCCTAATAATAACTATTTATTACCCCTAGGGAGACGGCGCTTTAGAATAAAAAAATTAGAGTATTAAAATCGCTATTCGTTTTTATATTTTTGACTACCCTAATAATAATTAACTGAAATTAATACCGTCTTTATAATAAAATTTTAATAGCGCTTACATTAATACTATTAAAATATCCTTATACGAATATTTATTCGGTTGTTAATTGCGAAGCTTATTAGAGTCCCTTAATAACCTTTCTTTATAAAAATATAATTTAGTACTCTACAATTATATTTATAACGAAGTTAAGTTCGCTATAAATTTTATTACCGCTAAAGTTAAACAATTCTACAATCCTAGCCGTAAATTAATAGATATTAAAGTTAGTAATAAAATCTATTTAAAATTATACTACGAATATTACCTTCGAAATTATCCGTTTTAAAAGTTCTATTAATAATATATTAGTCTTTTTAAAGTTATTAAGAAGGTTGGTGAATTAATATTTAAATTAGAAGTTCCTTACGCTATAAAAGGAATTTACCTAGTTATATTAATTGCCTATTTTAAACGAGCTCTTTATAAGGAAAACCCCTTCGGACGATTTCCTCCGCCCCTGGGACCTGTTGAAGATTTTTAAAAAGATTTAGAGTTAGAATTGGGATTATAATATAAGGTAGAGAGGTTAGTAACTTATAAAGAATTAAAAGGAAGGAAAATAAAGTATTAAATTAAATAGAAGGGATATAGTAATAAGGATAATAAATAATAGACGGAAGAATAATTTAAGAATATTCCCTACTTAATTATTAAATATTAGGATAGGCGTAGTAGCCGGCTAAGGGAGAATTCTAGGAAAAAGGATTCTAGTAAAAAAGACCCTAGTAAAAAGGTTATATAGAAGAGTACCCGGAGGAGGGATTAATCGAATTACTACTAAGGATAATAACCTTTTTATATATAAATCGGGATTTATTACTAAATATATACAATTAATTATAAAATAGGGTATTAGGTTGGTATATAATTTAATTAAGCTATACCTAGTCCGGTACTACGGCCGAAGTACGCCTAATACTACGGTCGGATACATACTAGCCGACTGCTATTAGCAGGCGGTTCGCGGGAAGTAGGACCCACCCCTACAAGTTAGGGTAGACCCCTACCCAAGACTAGGGTCCTTATATAAAAGGATCCTTATCTAGGCTGGCCAATGGCCGTAAAACTTCCTTCTGCATCTTGCTTTCTTACTTTAATATTATTAATTACATTAATAGATATTTGGAGTTCTGGGCGCCTAGCGAACCGTAACACTCCCCAATTCTTTGACTAAAATTAATGTAACTTTATAGAGGCTCTTTGGAATACTTATTATTACTTTTGGATTTTTTTTCGGAATTTTAGAATTAGGTGTCGTAATAGAATAGCTAACTGAAATCTTTGCTAACACTTTTCTATAGGAAACGCTAAGATTCCTGATGTCCCAACTTAAAATACTGTCCCAACTTTTCGGCTCCCCCTACATGGAATGTAGGGGGGAAAGAAAGCCTTGGCGCCCAGAACCCCCCAAGTACGGTGCCGGACCTTGCGGGCTGTCGAGTCATGGGCGGGTGCATAACTTATGCGTTCGATGCACTGTGCGCTTTTCGAGGAGAATTGTCCAATGAGTCTCATCCATTTCAACCCTAACCCTAGTTTGTCGCTGAGGGGTACGTCACTGAGGGGCTGTGCTCACTTCTCTTTCCGCTTCCACTCCCAGCGCCCCGGAGAGCATCCATCCGCTCGCTTTCCTGGCGTGAGATGAGACGAATTCCGCTCCATTGTTGGCGCTCTTGGTGCGTGATTGATTGTTGTTGTACCGTGTCGTGCTGCCTTTGATCTATCATTCCATCTGTCGGATCGAACTTGACCATCAACATCCACGGCGTTGATACTCGGCACTGCTGTTGTTTTGTACCTTTCTTCTTCCGGAGCACCAATCTTTATGATCTGAATATCTTCAATTACTTTTACTTCCATCAACCCAGTGACCATCATGGCGGATCCAGAAGTAGCAACTAAATCTCCCGAGAGCGACGCACTCGAGGACATGCCTGTCGCTGAGCCTACTACAGTACCTAATACAATCGACTCACCTTCGGCCTCTGCTGCCGCTCCAGCTCCAGCTTTGTGCGATAACTGTACCTCAGACAGGCCTACTCCTGCTGGGCAAAAACCGACGGGTGAGATTATCAAGCTCAACGACATTGACGTTCGTTTCTCTTCCTTCTCCGATCTCTCATTCGCATCAAATGACCAGGATGAATCTAACGAGCATTTTCCTGCTCGCAGGTATACGTTTCGAAACCGGCCGACTACCCTCACACTCCATCCAAGCTCCTCCTCCTCCTGACTGGCGGCACCGGTCTTCATAGCGTGAACAATCAGATTCAAGCCGATAGGTTTGCCCAAGATGGCGGTTTTGTCGTGGTCATGCCCGATCTTTTTGAAGGTGACCCAGCACCCAACCCGACGACCGCACCAAGTTCCGAAGAGCGCTCTGCCACTGACGCAGACACCGGCTCGGCTGCCCCTACATCATCTTTTCTCGATATCTTTAGGACCAAAGCCGCCGAGACAGCCAAGAGTTTCCTCATCGACATGTGGCTGGCCCGCCACACCGAAGACAAGATCATGCCCATCTTGGAGAAGGTCTTGGACGGCGTACGTGATGAGTTTGCCGATGCGGTAGCCTACGGCGACGGGATTTACGCGGCAGGATACTGCATCGGCGGTCGATATGTTCTTCTGCTGGCGCGCGAGCAAAGTCAAGCTCTGCGGAAGGCCTCGATCAGCGAAAGGCTGGGCGGGATTACGCTTCCATGGGCGCATAAGCCTGCTGCTCCTGCTCCTGCTCCTGCTCCCACTGGTTTGGGCGGTAGTGAAGGAAATAACCAGAGCGGTGATGATCTTGAAGCGAACAGACAGAACAAAATTTCGGGCCCACGGGTTAAGGCGGGAGCGATCGCGCATGCGACGCTGGTGTCAAAGGACGATTTCAAGGGTCTGAAGGCCCCTATCAGTATGGTCTCGGTGGAGCATGACCCCGTCTTCCCGGATGAGGTGCGCATGGCGGGCGAGGATTACATGCGCGAGAACAATGTTGAGCACGAGGTACAGGTGTACCCCGGTGTGCCGCATGGTAAGCTGCTAATTGCTTACCCAAAGTTTGGTAATGTCCCAGCTAACAAATCAACAACAGGCTTTGCGGTTGTAGGAGAGTATGAGGATGCTCATATCAAGGAGGCACAAGCTGCCGCTTTTGAGCAGATGTTGAAATGGCTTGCGGAGCATTGAATGATGTCTTGGTGATAGTACAGGCGTTTCCTACTATATTTAGCGCTCAGGTTCGGGTTTCATATCGCGGCATCCGATGGGATTCCGCAGGTAAAGATAATTGCAAAAGGGTATCGCAACGCTTTACTTGCAACGCTGGTTGGCAAATGACCCCTGACTAGCTAGGGACAGCTTACGATTCTGTACTGGTACACTGTCATCTATGAGACAGTGCAGATAATCTTGCCCATGGTCGTGTTCGCCTCAAGCTGCTTGTGAGCCTTGACGATCTCCTCAAAGGGCAAGACAGTGTCAATGAAGATTTTGAGCTCGCCGCTCTCGAACTTGGGCAGGTATTGGCTCAACTTGTCCCTCAGCTGGCCCTGATAGTTCTCGTCACGGCTCCTGAGGGTACTCCCTTCCACGCGGGCCCTCTTGTAAAGTAGCTTGGAGATGTCCACCTTGTCGGCTACAGCACCGCCCATAAGTCCCAGCATGCAGATGCGCCCATCACGAGCCACCACATCCAGGTTCTTCTGGAAGTAACTGGCGCCGATAAAGTCAACGACCAAATCAACACCCTTGCCATCGGTCTTCTTCATGATCTCTTCCACCCAGTCCTGTTCCTTGTAGTTGAACGCTGCCGTCGCGCCCAGCTCGTTCTCGATGAATTTGCACTTGTCAGCCGAGCCCGCCGTTGCAAAGATTTGTTTCGCGCCGGCAAGCTTCGAGAGCTGAATGCCCGCAATAGACACCCCCGAAGCTCCCGCATGCCACAAGATCGTCTTCCCCTGCTCGCCGATCCCGCCCAGTACAAAATGCAGCGCCTGAGTCGCTGTGATCCACGTCTCCGGCACACCCGCCGCCTGCTCGAAGCTCAGGTGCGCCGGCTTATGCAGCAGCATTTTGGACGACACGGCAATGTACTCGGCATAGGCGCCGCCGTAGGCTAGGCCAAAGACTTCGTCGCCGACGTTGAAGTCGCCGTGGTCGCCATCTCCAAAAGACTCAATGGTGCCGGAGAACTCGACGCCTAAAGTGCTGGGTGCTTGAGGAGGCAAAGGGTAGTGGCCCTCTCGCTGGATCAGGTCCATGCGGTTGAGGCCGAAGGCTTTGACTTTAACGAGGGCTTGGCCAGGCTGGGCTTGGGGGAGAGGCGTGTCGGGGTTGATGAAGAGATTGTCGGCGGAACCTTTGCCGTTTCTTATGTCTGTTTTATTTGGGGCGTTAGATTTCTGTCTGAGAGGCTACTGTAGGGGGGTTTTCGATGCGCTGGTCGATTGGAGGACCTTACCCACTGCTTTCATTGTCCTTGGTGCCATTGTGGGCTTGTTTTTTGTCCGTTGTTATTGCTGTGACTTTTCGAGTCTCGTTAACCTGTGTAATCCTTGCTGGCTAAGGCGTCTCCGTTGCTGCTTCAAAAGGATTGGTTTTCGCAATATCTACATGAGAACTGAGTAAAACGTGGTGTTGAAGATGTGAATGTCAATGGGCGTCTAGCTCGATGACGTTGACGATGATCCGAGCTTGCTTGATTTGTAAACATTTTCCCCACCATGGGGTACCATCCCTCGGCTAGGTTGTGACAAGTGCTGAACAACGCCAACGAGCCAACGAGCCAAGCATTTGTGTACACTGCAGCAGGTTCAGGATAACGCCCTTTCGAGGCCTTCTGAACAATTTTCAAAGCATGTTGTCCTACAGAATTTCCCCAGATCCCCCAGGTCACGACGCCCTAGCCTGACGGAAGAAGAGGTAGCTCGAAGAGACATCTTGCCTGCCTAGATCAGCCCTAAATACAACCAGCAATGTTTGGCTTCCATGGCGAAATGCACGCAGCGCGAGCTCCCACACAGTAAGACGTCTGGAAAGAAAAGAGGTCTGAGCGAGTCATCTGAGATGTCGAAGATCCGGCAATGCCTACCGAGTCAAATCCTCTAGGATCCTGCCATGGGTTTTCTATTTGTTTCTTTCAAAAGGGAAGCAACTGAGGTCTGGTAATGCGATGGCAGCTTATGTCAGAAGAGTCAGCCATGCCTGGGACTTCGCAATGTGAATGAGTTGTATTTGTTTTTAATGTCCAATCCATGCGGCAAGGGCCCTCCTGCCCTCCTAGACAGGCCAACACAATCACAAATGTGTAGAAGTTTTGGGATGGGTCGTTTGGAGATTGTGGAAATTGCCCTGACCATGCTGATGGCCTCGTACCCGGATCGGACTTGGCTCTGGAATTGGAACTGGAACTGGGCTTCACTCACACCCACCCGCAAAAGATGGATGTGAGGTGGTGGAACATCACATGTGATAAGATTAGGTATTAACAGGTCCACCAGTGTGGATGTTGTACTCTGGGGATGGATCTTCATCTTCCAGTCCACTCCAGTGCCGTCTCCAAAAAATCCCTCTTTGTGTCGTGTAGAATCCACCAGGGAGATGCTGTCACCGCCAGTGTCCACGACACCCGTTAAACCGGAACAGAACAAGCTTTTGTTGTGGGCACCAAAATCTGTCCATGGAGAAGGTCGAGGTTCATGATCCATTCCATCCGATCCATCCGTCAACCTATCCATCTCATATGCTCGCTTTCTCATCATCATCATCAACATCATCATCATCCTCCTCCACCTCTTCGAGACTAGGGACCTGGGGAAAAAAGACCTGGAACCTTGATTCGAAAGAAAATGCGACAGGGCTAGAACATGGACGGTTGAAAGTCTCAGTGCTGGACCCTGCAGGTAATAAATTCAGGCGTGTCCAATCACCTCGCGCGCTCGGAGGAACCCCTTTCCAGGAACGCTTCCAGAAATAGTCCCCATCGAGCGCGCACTGTAGGGGCACTCGACGTATCGATGTACATACTCAATAGATTTCCAAGATTCGTGGACAGCGACTGCACATTTCGGCGTTGCAATTGTCCTCTTGGTCCTGAGTTTCCATCCAAATTAACACGACAAGGAAATTATTCGTGCTTCATAATCCAGGTACTAAAGCGTAGCCCAGAAGCACAAACCTCTTATCCACAATTTCGGACAATTACCGTTCACCAACTGGTTGGTACCAAACGACTAAAAAGATGTGCAAACGACGACGTTCTTGGGCAATCCGATTTGGTGTTCTGGCTGCTGCGAGACCTACCTAGGTAGGTACCTAGTTAGTGAAGGTAGAGGTAGATTTGGCACTGTCGGGTGGTTCGTGACCTGCCTTGCTGCAAAGCGCTGCAAAGGCAGGGAGGGTGGCCGGAAGTACCTCTACATGATCCACCGGGCCTTCAGCCTAAGATGAGAGGCTTGCTCCGACCACAACCGAAGACGCACCCTCGCACCCTCTGGACGCTTCATTTCTGTCTTTGACCCGGCATCTGCTGCAGGTACCGCACCCAAACACCAAAACACTACAACATCAAAACGAGACGACACATCCCAGCATCCAGTATCCATAACCATGAAAAGAACCGAAAGGGGAGGGTGAAGAATGGTTGTACGACAAGGAACTGCAGGTGGCGGCATGAACGAATGGATTGCTGCTCACGACTGGTTGAATTGGGAAGATGACGGTTTGACCATGAGGCATTTCATCGATCCAATCACTTCTGGTTCCTGCATGCCTGTGAGAATTGCCCTGTACCCCACCGAGACCCAAGAGGAACATGGCAAAGACAGCGACCACATTCTGGGAGCACCCTTCCTCTCGGCAGATCCAGCCTGTCACCACGCCAAAGGGCACATTCAGCAGGCACAGAAGAAACGGTAACAGGGACGCTGACAGCAGGAAACAGAAGTATTTCCACTTCCTCCTATCGACACCGTCAAACATGTCAGCCACAGGAACAGTCCGTCCCGAGTGGGAGGTCTACTAATCTCTCGGGTTGCCCTGGAGTCCACCCATCGGCATCCCTTCAGGTTCCGTCGGTCCAGTCTCCCGCCTTTCCCACTGTGTCGACAATTGGAAGGCGCAGTCTGTGCACCGGGTGAAAAGCTGTAATTTCGCTGGGATTTCTGGGCTTCTTCTTCTTCTTAGCCAACAACACCACGCATGCCTAAAATCCGTCACTTCTTTTTTGGAACATTGTCACAATGGCCTCCAACAAGCGTTGAGCAAGCAGTCCCTGGCAGTCCCAAGCCCGTATCGATGGGGTTCCAAGGCGGTCCAAGGCGGTCCAAGGCCACACCCCCCAGCACCCCAGGTGTGCTGACGAGGCGTCGTGATTCGAGTGATCGTGTGCAATGGCGAGAAGTTGGGTCAGGCTTGATTGTCGGTGACTAGCGCCATGCGGCAATAGCGACGAGATGCAAGGTGATGGATACGGCATGGATACCACCCAAGGCGGTCTTGGGTCGACAAGGGGCCTTTTGTGGCCTTGGGACGCTGGGCCGATCCACTAATGGAGAAAGCTCCCCAATTTCTACGGTATATAACAGACGATCGCTCGCGAAGCGACTCCATTTCCCCTTTTCCTCCCTCACCCACATCCACGCTCACTCCACACATCTTGGCTTTTCAGTCAGTTCCATTCGTTTTAATATCTCAGCTGCCGACGTTCGCCGTCCTCAACTTTTCACCCCCAACGACCAACACACAACTCCTTCTCTGAGTACATAATCCCCACCAACAAATCAGCCAAAATGAAGTTCTCTGCTGCCGCCGTCCTTGCCGCTGCCGCTGGCGCCCACGCCTGGAGCAACGTGACCTACACCACCGAGATTGTCACTGCCGTCACCACCTACTGCCCTGGCCCCACTGAGATCACCCATGGCGGCAACACTTACACCGTCACCGAGGTACGACACGGTCTCACCCGAGACACGGGGAAGGGAACGCTGGGATGAAAGACGGGAACGGGAACTAGAGCCTGGGGCTGAGTTGTGTGAGGGAACGCCGTGTCCCGGTGTCCCCGATGATACCGCAACATAAAGCCCCATGGAACCTGGTCCCGGCCCCGGATTCGTCCCACCTTCCATCTGTTCCTCCGCAGTCTGGTCCGCTTAGAACGAGAAAATCATTGCTAACGCGTCCTTCCTTCTCTAGGCCACCACCCTGACCATCTCTGACTGCCCTTGCACTGTCACCAAGCCCATCATCACCACCTCGTCAGTGATCTGCCACAGCTGGTGCGTCCCGTCTCCTCTTGGGAGCCGTTTAGACCATGAAATAACTAACACTTATTCACAGCACCGGCTACGTCAACTCTACCGTCCCTGCCCCCACCTCGGCCGGCTCCGTTGGCACTGGCAGCGCCCCCGCTGTCGTCACTCCCACCGTCAGCCCCTCCGAGGTCCCCACCGCCGGTGCTGGCAAGGCTGCTGCCCTCTCTGGCGCCGGTCTCGTTGGTGTTCTCGGTCTCGCTGCCATCCTCCTCTAATTTCCTGTCCATGCGTGACAGCCAAGCGTTTCGACTTCCATGTCTCATGATCCCTCGATTCTCTTGATCGGTAATAGTTAATACTGCCCCGCAACTACCATGTTTCGGCATGACGTTGCGGCGCCAAGGGGGTTGCGCTTGGAGAACTCAAATGGCTGTGGAGTTGGATGTATTATGGATGTGGATTTAGAGAAGGGAGGAGAAATTTATTTAAAGGATACCCAGGGCTAATGATAACGGGGAACGCAGAGTCCCAATTTTGTTTGGATTCTGTGTTTGTATGAACTTCTTAAGACTTTTGTTTTTTTTGGGAAAGCATTGGGATTTGCACACACTTTCAACTTTTCTACCACCACCATTTTTGCATTACCTGATAGATGGCCTGGTCCGCGGTGTTGTTTCTCATGTATCCCTTTACAAAGTCTTGACGACGGCTCACATACACCCTTCTTCTGACCCTTGGTGGAATTGTGTTCCAATAGGGAGTTCAGTGGGCTCTCTGATTGCAAACAATACTAACACTCTTCCATTCTGAACGAACTTGTTTGGCATGACATGATTACTGCCTGGACCAATGTGAAACTCTGCTAATCTCGCCGTGGACAAAAAAGGTCTCATAGCTTTCAAACGGGCGAGCTAACCTCGCCGGGAAAGACGACGACGACGGAGCAGAAGCGTGCCGGTGGTCAGCATGCAGTTAGTAGAGCTAATGGGAATAGAGGATCACGTTAGTGGAGCGATGACCTCTCTGGGCGACTGTCCGACCGCCTTTCTACACCCTTTGCATTTTTTCCCTCAAAGATTATTCGGGAATTGCTCCGGCCAACAATGGTCTTTTAGCAGCTAAGGAGCCGACCGTTTACAAGAAAATGATCATGCAATCAATGACTTTTACAGAGAATGTCACCAACACAAGGTCACATTCATTTCATCATCATTTACGCGCTCACTGAAATCCAAGATATCACAACCCACTCGCACGTTTTTGGACGGATATCACCCTCACTTCTGCGGTGTTCAGTTGTGACGAACAAAGGGAGGTCGGCCAGACCCGCTTCCCACAGCAACCTTTATGCAAGGTACGCCTCGCGCGTGCATCCTTATTGGTCCGATTAGGAATGTTTGTCTCATTACGTACGGACCACTGCAGTACGTATGTCTCTCCTCACGCCGACACCGAGGGGGTGGAATCACGGAGTCTTTGTGGCAGGCATTGGGCAACTAGTTGGTTGTAAGGGAAGCGAGATTACCGATTGAAAGTGGGGGCAGTCGTACAGTAGAAACCCCTGTTCGTGCATGTAATCCGGGCAGCCATTTCCCATGCATTTAGAGGGCCCATGCATTTACATTCCCATGCCAAGACTGGCTATAATTACCACTATAAATCGACTAGAATCACTAGAATCTTTCTAAAATAGGATAAATTTGAAGCTATTCATATATTTGGGGATCCGGGTAATTACCTTCTTTACTTAAATTAATATACTTCCCCTTATAAAAGTCTAGAAGAGTAGTTTGTTTAGTACGTAATATGATGTGTGTTTCTACTTTCCTTTTTATCCTTCTAAGTACCTATACATTATTAAAATTAAGTATATCCTTTTTAATTACCTAGTTGAGTAAATCGATAATATTTAGTATTACCTCCTTAGTACTAATAATAGGAGGTAGGATAAATTTTCTATTATCCTTTTTATTTTTAATAATATAAGTATCTTAAATTTTAATTAACTAGTTATTTACAATGTAATTAAGTACTTCCTCTATAGTAATAGGTTTACTAAGTACCTCGTCCTTGTCGACGGGATTTATAAAGTTAACTAGATTTATCCTCTTTTTGATCCTTGTTATTGCTTTCTTAAAGACTTCTTTAAGGTTATCCGGCCTATTTTTAAAGAAGCTACGAAGGTTTAGATTCTCCTTTGGGCCTAGTATAGTAGACTTCTTCTAATAATTAATAATAGTCTATCTTTTAATTTTATTATACTAAATATTCGAGACCTAATTGAAGGTATATTATAAATTTATTTCTTTAAGGGGGTCCTACCCTTTATTATTAATTTTAAAGTTCAATTATTCGAGGTAGTAACGATAATAGTATAATTTAAAGGAGTTAATAATATTCTAATTTATAGGTTGATATATAAATATAACATTAGGGGGTAAGTATACAATTGTGATAATAGAAGGGGGAAGTACTAGAGTTAAACTTACTTAATAATTAGAAAAGTTATTAAAAATAAGTACGATCCGTTAACTAGGTTTTTTATAATTATAATAAATATAAAAGGATTGTAACTATTCTACTATAATTATACCTATTATCTATACCTTTTTATTATACCTCTATACCGTTTTAGTAGTATTATAATTAAACTACCTCAAAGTATAAGGTACCTTTGCCTTGCTTATTATTTATATTTTAAATTAATTATTATTAGTATTATTCGTTGTAAAGGTAAGAAATATATGTAATTTATTATATTTAGTACCGGGTTTAATTTAATTAGATAAACCGAAGTTTAGAATATAGCGTTAAAAGAATTTAGTCTTATTTATATTATATTAATTACCCCGCAGGAAATTTACTATGAAATTTCGTAATTTAATTATTTATTTAAATATATAGGGATTTTTAATAGGTATAGAAGTAGCCTTACTAACAAAGGTATTCTTAGAGAAATTATACTAATAATAAAAAAGGGTATACTACTTCTTACTAAAGTATAGTACTATATAGGGGTTCGCTAGTTTATTATTTCGGGTTTCCGGATACTGAAGCTACAAATCCCTAGCTTTTTACTATAGAATTTCGATGGAGGTACTAAATCCCCGAATTTCAATACCGATTTACTATTAATAAAGTAGGCGCTTTAGAATTAATTATTTTCCTTTACGTACGCAGGAAGTTTATAATTACCGAAAATCGAAATTATTAATTTGCAAATTAAATTTCTTATTAAAATAATACAAGATTGTATATTATAGGAAGGAGAAATCCTATTTCTACTTAATCTACGAAGCGGTAATACTCTAACTAGGGTAGGGAATTTTATTATAGAACTATTTTTAAAATAGGAATCTTTATACTTACATAAAGGATTTTTAATTTATAAGTTTGTAGCGTTTAGGGGGCGCTTTCTTTCTACTACGCGCTATAATTTTTTAAAGAGGTTACTATATAGTAAATCTATTAACAATAGGACTTCTAGAGGCAATAAAGGGAGGGGATCTTAACCGCTTGTATACGCTAGTACCCTGGCAATGTTGTAATTTACCTAATATAGTATAATATGGTGGTTGATTTGGTGAAAAATCGGGAATTTTGGCGGTCTCACTATATTTATCAAATTAGAAATCGGATTAGAAATACCGCCTGTTGGGGGGTTATTAGGGCTGTCAGGGCTATTAAAGGTTATCAAGGACCATCAAACTACATATCCACCAATTTAGCGGGCCGCCAAATATACAAATATACATTTTAGCACTTGCCCATACTAAATAATTGCGGACTGGCAATTGCTAGCATTTAGAGGGTGTTATGCATTATCAGGTGTATGCACGAGTAGGGGTTTCTACTGTAGTGCAGCAGATTGTGCGATAAGTGGAAGGAAGGCCCAGCGACAACGCTGAACCCTCGGTCGTTGAAGAGACAGATCCACATAGATACCATCAATCAGCATACATCAACACAGTGATGCCGACGTCACTCCGCATGAGACCATTCACCACGAAGTGACAGCGAAACGATGGGGAATTTGGCGTTCCGAAACTCATCATTACCTACGTTGTCAAACGCACGCGGCAAGACATAGTACCGGCAGATGGCGGAGCATTCACAACGGTCGGACTTGCCTGAATACCTTCGGTCGCCTCCCTCAGATTGTTTTTCTTGTTCAACCACTGTCTAGCAACGAGACATGTTCGTTGACCACCAGGCGAGGCTTGACTGTCTGGATGTTCAAGCTAAGAAGAGGTGGATTACCGGAGTGAAATGGTGACATCACTTATCAGCGGTTCATGATGGCCCATTGAGCAGGTCATTGTTCTTCGTTACGGTTGCTGTTGGTCTCCTCACTCGATCGCTCCAGGGTCCGTCAAGTTTGATGACAGCCGGCTGACTGGAAGTTTAGAGGATTCCCCCGTCGTGCTATGACATTCATTCGCATCGCTGCGGCGCTTGTCAACTTTTGTTTTGACAGCTGGTTGCAACTCTCAATTTCCACCCAGCCACTACATTGGCGCCGGCTATTATCGAGATGGTTTCCAAAGTCAAGTGACCGAAGAGCCATTCAGAGCCTGTGAGTCTTGGAACGAGGCTCAGATGCCGGTGAAGCATCAGGATGAACTCTATCTAGTCAAAGCTTATCACACTATTGCGGAGTACTTCGACACCTGGTTGATGTTCAGAGCCTCATATCACAGGGAATCCCAGGCCAGCGAGGCCACGCTTGAAGCGAGCGACGAAATGCTATACTCGGATCTGGAAAGATCTGGAAGACTGGAAGGCGGGCATTTAAGGCTGAAAGAGACCCACAGGTACCGCGCCGATCCGGTGGATGAAGCCGTGATCTCACCCCGGCGTTTCGGGTGGGCTACCGGATGTCTGGGACCCAGATATGTCTCCATCTCTTCTTGCTTTTTGCTGGATCCTCTAGGTTTTTGATCGTACACTACATGCTTTGATGGCCTGAGCTGACCTACCCCTGACATTGGGCTAAGAGGCATTCGCCGCTTTGGCTAGCTCCCGTTGACTTTCTCAATTAGTATTGTTGACAGACTATAATAACTACTTCCTTCTATCATGTGTAGATGCTCTCCCCCTTGGCTACGCAGCAGCACTGGCTTTTCTTGCTTTACTTCCCCTGCGCAGAAGGTTACCGAGTCGTGGTTATCCCCACAGCGTTTGCGGTCATCAACAAAGCATCCTGATGCGATCCTGCACCGTGAAGGTTTCAGAACCACACAGTTAGATGTGGTAAATCATACCTTTTTCACTGCTTGAACAAAAGCAGAACACGTTCGGGAGCCATTCACCCTACCCCTTTTGTATGGCCCTAACCCGCTGCGGGCTAGTATGCTACCTGGAGGACGGCCCTCCGTATGCCCAAAACCATGATGACTTCAAACACCGAAACGATGTCTTTTTGTCTCCGAATTGGCCACGAGTGCTCAGAACATTCTGTCCATTCACATCATTGCTTCGGCTAACTCCAAACTCCGAGCCAGAAATGGCTGTTCGCTGGCACTCCATTAGTGCCTTCCCCGCGTCGACCCCTCAGACGGACCTTTAGGGGGGAGCATGGGGGAATGCGGGGAAATACTCATTTGGCACACGTGCTGGCACGAGTATGTCTGCCATCTCAAGCCCAGTCAAAGATCGGCCTGGAAGACTGTTGAGGACCTTCGCTCCACCCGTTCTCCAAGTCTACCAACTCCGAGGTTGACGGTCCTGTTTGCAATGCAGTCGGAGGCCACGAATTTGAAACCACTTGTTTGCTTGTCTCCTCCTTGACCCCCTCCCTGTTCTTCCCTAACCTTCCCGTCAGGAAACATCCCTCTTCTCTGCGCTCTTTGTCTTCTTTCACTTTATTCCAAATATCTTCTTGGATCTTGACGCTTACTTGTCTATAATCTACAGTCCTCTTGCAAGCTTTGCGTCAAGCAACAGCACCTTCATGAAAACTTCATGAATATTATCTAACCAGTCTATAGATAGATTGGGTCACATCACTATAAACACAATGACCCATCCTCAAGACGAGGCCCAGCATCTCTCTCTCACCGATCCCGAAAGATTCTGGGGTCATCAAGCTGAACAGCTTCACTGGCACAGAAAGCCTTCTGCGGTTCTGAAACGCACGACTAAAGATCTGAAATCGGGTACCTCTCACAGTCATTGGGAATGGTTCCCAGACGGCGAGATATCCACCTGCTATAACTGCCTTGACCGTCATGTCCTAGCTGGGCATGGAGATCAGCCCGCCATTCTCTACGACAGTTCGGTCACGAACACCAAGCAGCGTTTGACCTACAAGCAGCTTCTTGCCGAGGTCGAAACTTTTGCCGGGGTCCTTCGAGAGGAAGGCGTCAAGAAGGGAGATGTTGTTTTAGTTTACAGTCAGTTCATCCATTTACGGCTTTCACGAGTGTCCACTGAGCCAGCTACTAACAGCCTATTTACATAGTGCCCATGGTGCCCGCCACTTTGATCGGCATTCTCGCCATCAACCGCTTGGGTGCCATCCACGCTGTTGTCTTTGGTGGCTTTGCTTCCACAGCCCTGGCTCAGCGCATTGAAGCCTCATGTCCAGTCGCCATCTTGACAGCTTCTTGTGGCATCGAAGGTAACAAAGGGCCTGTCAGTTACCGCGCCTATATCGAAGAAGCTATCAGCATCTCATCCTTCAAACCCCCCAAGACCATCATCTGGCAGCGTGAGCAGCTAGTGTGGCGTCCAATCAAGAAAACTGAGGGCGAGCGGGATTGGCAGAAGCTGGTCAAGAGCGCGCGGTTCAGAAATATCAAGGCTGAGTGTGTTCCTGTAAGGTCGGCTGATCCCATTTACATCATCTACACCAGCGGAACCACAGGTCGACCTAAAGGTGTCGTGCGCGATAGCGGCGGTCATGCTGTTGGGCTGCACATGTCGATTTCGTATCTGTTCGGTATACATGGACCAGGTGACGTGGTAAGTTGGCGTCTCATTCACAAGTCAAAGCTTCGCAAAATGAAAGCTGTTAACAGGACCGTGATCAGATGGGCTGTTTCAGTGACATAGGCTGGGTAGTTTCACACAGCTACACACTTTATGGTCCCCTACTGACAGGCGCCGCCACGGTCCTCTACGAAGGTAAGCCTGTTGGAACACCCGACGCCTCGGCTTTCTGGAGACTAGCCGAGGAATACAAGATCAACACCTTGTTCACCGCACCAACGGCACTCAGAGCCATCCGAAAGGAAGACCCTGACAATGTCTTTATCACCGAGATTGGCAGACGAGGTGGGCTCAAGAGCCTCAAAGCCCTTTTTCTTGCTGGAGAGCGGTCCGAGCCAGCTATCATTAACATGTACCAGGACTTGCTCAGGCGGTATGGCGCGGCAGGCTCCCAGGTTGTTGATAACTGGTGGTCGTCAGAATCTGGCTCGCCGATTTCGGGTGTTGCGTTGGTTCCGCACGCAGGCAAGAACAGGAAGACGAATGTGAAAGATCATCCGCCATTACCTATCAAGCCCGGGAGTGCTGGAAAGGCCATGCCTGGGTTTGATGTCAGGTATACAATTTTCATTATTCCCATTTCCTCAGATGCATGGTAACTAATGCTGCACCGTAATGATCAGAGTTGTGGATGACGAAGGCAACGAGGTGCCCAGGGGCAACATGGGAAACATCGTTCTGGGCCTTCCACTGGCACCTACTGCGTTTCGGACACTTTGGGGGGATGAGGAACGATTCTACAAGAGTTACATGATTCGCTTCAATGGCAAGTGGGTTGACACTGGCGATGCCGGCTATGTCGACCAAACAGGGTACATTCACATTATGGCACGCACTGATGACATTATCAACGTTGCCGCCCATCGTCTTAGCACAGGCAAGTTACCTCTCCCATTTTTTTTGTTGTCATCTACTTGCAAACATTCCTCTAACACCCCGCGTCAGGCACACTCGAGCAAGCAGTCACAAGCCACCCCCTCGTCACCGAAGCATGCGTGGTTAGCGTCCCCGATGCCCTCAAAGGCCAGCTTCCTTTCGCCTTCGTCAGCACCTCGGACGGCGGCGCCGACGTCAAGTCAGACGAGCAGCTGTTCCAGGATATCCAGAAGCTCATCCGCGCCCAGGTTGGTGCCATCGCCTCGCTAGGCGGGATGATCCGGGGCAAGGGCATGATTCCAAAGACACGCTCGGGCAAGACCTTGAGGAGAGTCCTACGCGAACTGCTGGAAAATGCGGTCCATGACGAGTTCGACAAGCCCGTCAATATCCCCTCGACGGTGGAGGACCCGAGCGTAGTGGATGTGGCGAGGGAGAAGATTAGGGAATATTGGCATGCGAAGAGCGGGTTGCATGCGGCTATTGAGGCTAGGGCGAAGCTTTGAAAGGCATGTAGTCACGTAGAAGCATTGTTAAGCGTGTATTTGCTTCATGACGAGAGATACTTCCCCACTTTTTACACCACTTGGGGTAGAGTCTATGTAGGTCAGAGGCAGTGAGCTTGGAAAGCAGAGTTGATGATTTTGATCTGGAAGGTGCACACAAGGTTATCCTGTCCTAGCAGCCCCACAATCTATTTTGTCCCACATAGTTTCTTACACCCATCAGTTTTTACCACCTACAGCCCGATTAGCTCAGCTGGTTAGAGCGTCGTACTAATATCAGTTCTCTGATATCAAGTCAATGCGAAGGTCAACAGTTCAATCCTGTTATTGGGCATTCATTTTTTTGAAGGTTTCTTTTCATGGCAGCGTCATCTTATCCTTCACTATTTTTACCTCCCCTCCCCCTTCTCTTGTCTCATTTGCTCATCTTCTTAGAACATAGGTTTTTTTTTTTTTTTTCCAAGCCAAGTGTTATTCTTCCAAATTCAAACCATACTCAGAGGAAGTGGCACACGAGTCAAAAAGGTGTCAGTCTAGAGAACAACACAGTGGTTGTTGCACTGACCGAAGGTAAAAAGCAGTCACCGACGACCAGACAAGATTTTAGACCTCCAATCAACCGCTCAAACAATCTTCAACCTATTTCTACATCGAGTCTTCTCTCTCGTCACTCGCAGTCCAACACAAAGTTGCCACTGGCTGTGCGGTCCCGGGACCGGGCCCGGTCCCGCTCTCCATCTTTGGGTTCCAGACTCCCGCACTTGCTTCCCGGGATATACTTCGAATACGAGGTGGACGAAACCAGCTCAGCCGGCTCGTTCGTCGAATGTTGGGCTTTGTGGCACCAAGACAGTTACAGTAAATGGGTCAAGGCTCTTTGGATTGGACGGGATGCTTGGAAACAACTTGACAAGTTCCATGGTACATGTTAGTCAGTCAGTTGAAGGCAAGAAAGGGGGTTTGGAAGATTGGCTGGATCGGAGGGCACCGGACCCTTTCAGAAATCAGGTAGGTAGCTGAGTCCAGGCTAGCAAGGTCGAGATTGATCCATCAAGATAATGTATCTGCGTATGTATGTATATATATTTCATGACACGATAGCGTAGGTAGCCAAGTGAATCCGAAACGGCACTACAGGGCTTCGGGGCTGCGGTGGCTGCGGATGCTACGAATAGGAAGAAATACCTCAAGAACGATTATGTTGTGTAACTATTCGATTTCTGTTGTGTTCACATACAGTCGACGAGTCAGTTAGTCCATGCTTTGTCAATTCCGATTTCACTATCTTCTTGGCTCTTATCAATGATTCCTTGCTGATTACGTTGGGCTACCGGTAGTCCAGGTATGTAGCCAAATATTATTTCCTCTCTAGTCTTCGTTTGTCTGTGAGGTTTGTTTCGAATATGGCTTTTCAACAGTCTTGAGTTAATGATACAAGAGAATGGTACAAGAAACGGGCTACCAGTTCTGTGTCTGAACCAGAGCTTTTGCATTTTCAAGTAGCCAAGGTAAGTCATCCAGTGACTTATCAGTACACCTAGAGGTATAGTAGTGCCCTGTTTAAGCAAGTGTGTGTTTGAGTAAAAGGTACAGGAGACCTAACTAACAGCTTTGTGTACCTCTGATTACATGGAGTTATCACCGGGAACTTCTAACACAAATAGTAAAGCTGTAATAAAGGGGCACAACATAGAGATTTACATGTATTATTCAAAATTCTGGTAGAAACTCTTCAACCATAACTACCTAGTCTTCGGCGTCGGACCATAAGGTCTCACAGGACCGATAACGCAAAATCAAGAACCAAGTTAGTTGGCTAGCCCAATATGTATCGGTAAGCAGGAAGCTTACTTCCGGTGCCCATGAAATTATTCTGTGAGAATCCCAGTTTCTCACCAAGTCACCGTGAACATGGTGGTAGTCATAACCTAGCAAGCGGCAGAGACGGCCCCCTAAAGCCAAAGATCCAGGCCAGAATCTGGCCAACAGAAACCAAAAAAAAAAGACAGGCGAAAGGACCAGACACAAATAGACATACGTCGGCATGCTCCACGAGCTGACGAAAAAAAAAACCCCCGAAGAAAGGATATTATGCCAAGGGTGAGCTGGCCTAGGCCACTACTAGCGCAGGCGCGTTTCACCACCGACTATCCGGTCTTGACGGCTCGAGAGTCCAGAGAAAGGGAACTCCCTTCATTTACCTAGCCTGCCATACCTACCCTGGCCCAACTAGCTTCCTTTGGACTAAAGGTATCCAGAAAACGTGTGCATGTACGTTATGTGAAGCGCTGTGTCTATCCGTGGCATGGAAGACACCGCAGAACAACAATTCGCAAAGAAGAAATTCAAACGGTCTTGTTGTCTGTCAGTGTGTGTCGCTCCATCCAAGGTGACCCTAGTTTGACATCATGCCATGCAATGCCATGCTATGCTATGCAAGAAGGGGAGGGGGGAGGAAAGATCGGGGTGAGCGAGCGTGAGGGAGACACGGAGAGAGGCTGGGTTTGAAGACTTTTGCGGAGGCAAAGACAACAGAGGGAGAGTGTGAGAGGGGGATTAGTCGAAAGGCAACGGTAACGACGACAGCGCTAAGTATGCGATAACCCGCCCATCACGAGGAAAGAGAGTAACGGTGTGACGCCACGCACTATAGCTCCTCCTCAACGATATCCATTCAATTCTCCCACAACAGATTGTTATTGTGCACATATTGTAGCAATGTTCACAATCCTAGTCAGCTTCGGCTGGTCTCATCCATCCAGAACTCCTGATTTCCTCAAAACAAATAAATTGCACCCCCTTGCCCTTGACAACAGCCGAAAATCGTACCAAGTAGCTACGCAGGGTAGACGGGTCGACCACGTACGTGCTGCAGGTTAATATATCGTGCAGCTGTTGGTTTTTCGTTGGAGCAAACAACCTCCCCAAAAGAAATCGATTGACCAACAACAGCCCCGCACAGGCCCATTCAGGACTATCACCACCACTCATCCATTCCATTCCCCTTGTCCTTCCTATCTGTCCGTTGCTTCTGTGTATGCTGACTGGTCCGGGACGACAGAAACCCGGGGGTGGGGGGGCACCTTTCGTACGGCGCGCCGCCGATGCCGCCCCCCTTTCCACGTTCGACTGGAACCTAGTACACACCCATTGTCCAATCATACCTCTGATGCAGCCGAGACGTCAGCAAGCGGTAGAGATAAGGGAACGAAATACTGATGCCCATATGCGGTGAAGAGACGGAGTAGCATGGGAAAGAGCAAGAAACCTCGTAGTGACACATGGACCACGAACGTCGGAAAGTAATGAAGAAAAGGGCAACCGAAGACCGCTTCGGGCTCTGAATAATGATAGACAATAGATACTCACGAACTTGAGGGGATACGAGTGGGACACGATCGCCTGCTTTCGAACACCCGGTGGCCTCGTTGTCGTGGCGAACCGTGTCTCGTCTGGCCTAGATTCTACTTTCTCCAAATGCCGTACGTACGGCATGACGCTCACTATCCTAGCAAGCGTCGTGTCGTGTTGTTCTCTCTGTTGTATCTCCATCGTTGATAGTGGTGCTGTGTACTGAATCATCGTGCCAGGTATATGCTTCTCCTGCTTTGCTCTGCTGGGTTGGTTCTGTTATGCGTGTCATCGTGCTAGGGAAGGGTAAGCATGCCATAGCGTTCTGCACACATCGCTTCTCTTCCCATCCAAGGTCACTTTGCTTCACCCAGCTAACGTAAGCGAGGCGTGAGGAGGACAAGCAAAGTAAATCGGAACCTTGGACAGGACAGGAGGAAAAAGGACCAATATAGTGGAGGCAGCGGCCGCCCTAACAACATGACACGCAGGCCGCCGTATCTGTCCTCACGGCGCCTATTCGTCCGTCGTTATCATCCCTCATCGTCGGAATGCGCCCTGGAAGGTCCATCATGCTGGCGGTTTGTTCGTCGAGAAGGCGGAAAGAACGCTTTGCTGCCTCTTTGCCGCGATCTTGAGGTTAGCGAACCTTGCCTCGGGCAGCCGCTTGCCTGCCTTGATGCTTTCCAGAACCCTGGTCGAAAAGGAGAGGACAGCGTTAGCGTAAGCACAGTATCCGTCAAGCTGTGCATCATACACCGCAGGTCCAGCCAACGGAGAGGGGGGTGGGTGAATGAACGTTTGGCCTGGGAAGAGACTTTACGGGGTCCCAAGAAGGACGAACATGGAAGGGAAGAGGTGGTAGCACAGTATACGCATATCCTATGCCCAGCTAGTCACCGGGGAAGAGGATGGACTTACCATTCGACACCGACATACTTGACGCCACAACCGCCGACTCTGCGGATCTCTTTCTCCAATTTCCCGCCGGCGAGTCCACCACCGGCGCCGGTATTTCGGCCAGTCGGTTTGCCTAGGATGACGTGAGTGACCTGGCGGCGGCCGAGATGAATGGACATACGAGCGCCGTTCTCGGCGAGGATTTGCTTCAATTTATGATCAGAGATCAGGGGATGGGTGCTACCATTGACGTAGATGTTCAACCCATCAAAGATTTTTCTGATGTTGCTTGAGCCTCCTCCCTCCTCCTCCTCTTTCCTCTGCCCGTGTTGCGTGGGACCCGATTCCCAAGTTTCCTCCTCTTCAACCGGTTGACTCCCATTCTGTGACGCTCCCTTTTCTGGTAGACGAGCCCGTGACTGCGAATTTGTCTGTGACATGGTCGCCATGGTTCCAGGATTACGTAGCATATCGGCAACGCTGTTCAGTGCGCGAGCTCGTACCTCCTTTGGGATCAAGACGCCACGCTTTTCGTCAAAGTCTTCGGCGCCAGCCCCAACAGAGTCCGAGATTCGGTCGCCACCGGAAGAACTGGCGCGGAACTGACTTTGCAGTTTCCTGGCACGAGACTCGCGCCACCCGGTTGGCACCCGAGTTTCGGCTCGCTGATGGCCGGCCGCTACCGAATTCCACGGGTCGAACGCGCGGCCAGCATGGATTGGCTCTGCCGGTGGCGGCTGTTTAGGATGAATAGGAGGAGCCATGGCACAGCCTGTTTGCTTCGTGATTGTTGGCTGTATCTGTATGGCGTCTTCCGGGCTGTCACAACATCAGTCGATTATGAGAGCGATCCAGCAGGTGGTTGTGGCGTTGTCGGGATGCGCAAATCGTATGTGTTGGTCGAGTGATAGATAGCCACTGGAGAGTCCAAGATAGAGTGGAATTGCACGGCAGGTTGGTTGAACATTGCAGCATATGGTGAATGGAACGCGAGCCAGTTGGCCAACACGTCGACCCGGAACACGACTTTCCAAAGGAGTCCCCGTTCCATTGCCGCGTCTCCATCTTCAAAGCGCTCGCGAAGTCATGTGAGTTCCACCGTTATTGTCCTCCCTTTATGAGTGTGCTTTGTCTCAGCGGTCGCTTTGTTCCTTGTGTCTGTTAACGCGAAGCCCTTGAAGCGATTGGTTTTGCGGTGGTGCACTAACAGAGACTCTGACTTTGACATGCCTGCCGCTTCTCACATGTCCAGCATCCATCATGCCGGCCGGGTACCTCAAGTCGAAACCTGGGAACGTGTGACAACAAACACTGCCTTGTACTGTACCCTGGAACTCAACTGAACTTGGAGCATCACACACTCTCGAGACATCGGATACGTCCAAACATCTACTTGCCGTTAGACTTTCTTTCTTTGGTCCTTTTAGGCAGAGTTGTTGGTCAGCTTTGGAAACAACGGCACCAACAACCCGCGCTTGTTCTTGCCAGCCACCCACGCCGACACATCTCTTAACATCCCACTCGTCAAGTTGAACCCCCCCCCCCCGGGACCCCCTCAAGGTGCTGTTTGCTATTGAGAGACTGTTTCTCGAGCCGCGCAACTGCGCCGACGCCGTGGACTCAGGTCGGCTGGCCGGGAAAGGCGCACAAACAAAGCAAGGACTGGTACCGAATCACATCAGCCTGACAAGGGTGACACAAAACTACTGCGTAAGTGAACAGCGGCATTCAACGATACCCAGCCCCGACAGGAGTGGCTCGAGAGGGGGGTGCTTGAAAAAAAAAAAAAAAATCAAAAAAAAAAAAAAATCAATACGTGCCGCTAGATTGCGAAAAAGAAGCAGCGTCGTTGGCGTAGCTCTTCCCTTGCTAGATAGCTCTCGCGTTTAGGGGAAACAGTACGGTAATATTTCATGATAACTTCCTTGATGTCGACTCTCCCTTCCCCTTTCGTCTTCTCGGCTTCGGCTAGCAAGGACCCTTTTCTCGACATCCCATCCCATCCCGAGACACGGTTGATCCACGATAAAACACAGCAAAAGAAACGAAAAGAAAAGAAAAGAAGGCCTGGGCAACATGACAAGGAAGTAGGAAGTGCTAATTGTTGATTGCTCACTTACTATTATTACTACTTGTGAGTATCTCCGGACAGGTACGGTAGCCTGGGTTACGTCCGTCATTGTCCCCAGCCTCACCACACAAATCAACCGCCGCCGTCATCACAACATCCACATTTCCCGTCCTTAATCACCTTACCTCTGGTGTAAAATTAGACTCTAGCTACATACATTGTGAAAGCCCCTCCGTGAACCATGTACCCATCACACACAACCCTAGCTCGCCTAGCCAAGCGAAAGTGATACGTACATGTGTAGTGGGAAGAGGCTCAAGAGTTGACGAGTGGTCAAGCTTCCGAATCTCATCGCCCACCACTGCACTGTAGATCACCGAACGGGCCGCCTTGCGCCCTGCGAGTCTCAATTGCTCATGTACAATACCTATGCGTAATGCAAGTACTGCAGTAGCTATGGCACGATTGCACATACACTACATACGCATCAACGGCTATGTAAGGCATGACCGGTAGGTTAGCAGCTATGTAGGTGGTGTGGATGCCATCCATAGTCTACACACACTATTTTATGCATAACGTATGTGTCTGTCTACATACCGTAGTGTATAATCAGTGGGGGCCATGGGCCAGAGAAGACGGCGACACCACGACAACGACGGTAATGAAAAGACTCGCCTGGTGAGATTGTTGTCTGTTGTTATTTTGCTTTATACAATTGCCGAAAGCTGCCGAAAGCAACTGAGGAACAGGATAAGCAATCTCTTTTATTCACTTTTGGTAGTTCTCTTGCAACCAGGACCCCGTTGCCAATTTGAGGCAAAGCCAACGATCCGAAGGACAGCATTTACCAGTTCCTTGTCTTTGGCGTCTTGTCCTTTCCTTTCCGTCCATCGGGGGCTTTTCCTCGTCCTTTATCGCTTCAGAACGCAGAACTATTGGAGTTTTTGCAGGGATCGGACTACTGCGTAGAAACTATGTAGGGACTACTGCGTAGAAACTATTTAGAGACTACAACAGAACTGGTTTGCTTGTCAGTTTGGGGCTTCGGCCGTGGGTTACACTAAACAGGGGGAGATATCCAGCTCTCATTGGCTTTCTCAAAAGAGTCTTCGTTCAAGCGACGGACAATGACCAGGGCGTAATGCGCCTCAGAAACCTCTTTTTATGCCTTTATTCATCTCTTCCAGCAAACCCCCCCCCCCCCCCAAAAAAAAAAAAAAAAAAAAAAAAAAAAAAAAAAAAAAAACATAAGAAAAAAGTCCCATACGGCACCTGTCCGCTCAAAATCTATATACTCTTCCACTTTCAGTGGCTCGAGAGTGGAATTGGGCTTATATACTCCACATCACTTAGGTAAATCAGACAAACCTTTTTGCTTCTCCTCTTACGACAGGATGAACTGAGGATAACCTGCGGAGAAAGAAGAGACCGGGGAGGGGGTTCCGTGTTACACATGCTTACCAGCCAAGCTTTCCAAACGGGCACTAAAAAGGTAAGCAATGCGTATTTGGCAGATTTAAATCAAGTGAATTGTATGAAACTCAGTTATGCCTCGTATATACTGTACTGTGGTCCAAGAGATCCCGAGTCGTAAACTCCATAAATCCCACACAGTAAAGTGTCGACAGACTTCCCCGTCCAGGAAGGATCGCCACGCCGAGCCAACTGAACAAGCCAGGATAGAGGAAAGTCAACCATGCAAACACAACAACAAAGAAAAAGAATAAAAGAGACTGGAGTTTCTAAGCAGCACAATCGTAGCAATTGCATAGAAAAACATACGATAGGTAAACACAAAACACAAAACACAGAAATCGTACGAAAACACGCGTGAAGACACGAGCCAAGTCGGGAAGCGCCTCCCCATCACCCCCGCTCACTCTATGTACATACATAGTCCACCTTCCACGATAAACAAAGCCTCCTCCTCCACACATGAAACAAAAAGCAAGAGACCACCAGAGCGACTACCTAAACAAACCCTTGCAAATTCAAACCAGTTTGCACTTTGCAGAGTAGCCAGACCCCAGCCCTTACCCCCCAAGGGGTTCGTGCGCGGCGGCCGCTGACGGTTCGGTTCTTTTGCCGATTACACTAGTGATCCAGCCTTCGGCTTTCCCCTCCCTCACCAGAAAAAAAAAAAAAAAACCGAGAACCCCCCTTGCCTCCCATCCCTAACCCCGGCCACCGATGACCGGGATTTAGGGCCGGCGGAGATAGGAAGGGCGGAGGTCGGGAGGTGGGGGACCTGGGAAGGTCAGGTGCGAGCGGCGCGCCGGAGGTTTCCATGGGGTTTGGAGATTGGGGGAAGAGAGAGAGAGAGAGGGGGGGGGGGGGGGGGCGGGAATGTGGGAGGGGAAAGAAAAAAAATAATCTCAAAAGGAGAACAAAGTAAAAGACGAAAATACATAGAGTGAAAGAGAGAGAGAGACGACAAGTGCCATCAATTGTTGCCCTCATTGCAGTGCCCTACAGCGGGAGCTAGGGACAATGGAGTAAAAAGGGTTGGGGGGTTGCGACACCGAGCACCTTCCTCCCAAAGGAGTAGCAGGGACTCATAATAATACCTATGTAGTGACAGTAGGCCAAGCCGTTGACGTGCTCTTGCTTGCATCCCGTTGCAATGGCTGGATGGAGATGGCTGGGGGAAAAGGGACAAAAGGGAAAGTAACGAGACAAAAGACACACCCACACACATCGCCTGTGGTGGTGGTGGCAGCATTTGAAGCCTTGAACCTTGCCGTCGCCGCGCCGCCCGGACGCCATCGACCATCAGCCATAGAAATATCGACATCAAACCAGCAACCATCGTCGCCATAGAACTTCCTTGTTTCTGGCTCTGGTTCTTTACATAGTTCTGAAAACTGATGACTTCCTGATCGCCCGTCCTTGCCGTCTTGCTTGACGGGCTGGTTGACGACGAGTGAAGTCTGACTTACACATGAATAGAAAACCCTGGTTAGAGGGAGCTCGGTTGTGGTTATTTTTGGTGTACTTTGTCTTCCCTTATTGTGGCAAAGAGACGTTTCGACGATTTCGGGATCAGTGACCTGTCTCGCCCGTTCAAACTTCTCCATACTATGACAAGGGACGAGCCGACGTTTCAATTTTTACCATCTTGACAGTTAGGTGGTTGTTTGTGGCCATGCTTACCCATCTGTCCATCTTGCCTATCGCTTTGACTAGACGATGTGCGGTGTCGATACCAGATCCGAGAGAAATAATCAACCTTTCGACATTCCAGCCCGTATACTAGCGTAGTATCTCGGGTACACTGCGATTACAATGGATCATATATATCCACCGCACACGTACGCAATGTGCATATATAGGAGCCCTGAGCTTGGCGAACACACCTGTAGGTCTACATGGTAGACTCCATACACACCTTCTGGAAGCCAAACTCATCTTTGATAGAGTGTATCTCGCCAGGACAAGTCGAACGAAATGATAACAAAACGATAATGAGCATGCATAGACCGCGACACCGCAGCCACTGCCGCGCTTGCAGGAAATAGAGAGGCAGCCATAGTAATCATGCCAGGGAACAATATTGATGATTGTTGATCAAGGAGGGTTGAAATAGTGAAGGGACATTGAACCGTCGGGCCATCGATCTTACCTATACCACACACCTTGTTTCTGATAAGCTTATGTCCAGCAGCACTGTACAGGCCATGCGCCATCACACCATCTGATATATACGGCGCGGGAGAGGGGGTGGTCGGGTTGAGAGGAACCTCTACTCTGTCGGTGAAAAGATTCACCAACTTAAAGTTCGATATACCTCCAGTTCCAGAACGAAACACCCAAAACAGCCGCAGCATCAACGGGAGGGGGAGAGTCTCGGTATCATGGCAGGTATCACGGACCCTTCCATCACAAGCAGGATGATCTTTCGTAAGCCAGGCCCGCCAGTCAATATTAACGACTTTGCTTGCTCTCGTCTCCTGGGCGTATCAATAGAGGTATACTCGCGTGTCAAATATGTTGTTAATACCGTCGGCCCGGTCTTAGTAGTCGCTACAGTTCTCGGAGAGTATTGCCTCTGCCAACACAGGAAACTGATGCCGCACTCGTACCGCATATTTTCCACCGAGGGTCGATGGACGAAAAACAACCCTCCTGTACCTTACAGTACACAACATGCTCTCCAGGAGACCATTTTCGTCTTTTGTCCCTTCCTGGACCCCGGCACTGCGCAGTGAACAGTTTGTTCAGCAAACCCAGAAAACTGGCAAAACGAGACCACTCAGGAGCCGGGACCTCTGTGTGCCACTCAAAAACAGGGGTGTGAATGTTACCAAAGGGAAGCAGATAGGGGAAGAAGGCGAGGAAGGGTATCGGGAATGGTTGCTTTTGTCCAACATGACGAGGATGGGGTTCGGGATAGGGATAGAAAATCTCGTGTTCCACAACACCTCTAGGGAATCGACCATCTGCCCATCTTCCGAGCGAGAGTTGTCAGGCGCATTGGTGTGTATAGAGGCGCATCATAACTCGGTAGCCCCAACACTAACGGTACTTTCTGTTGCGCTGATCTTGACGCGGGAACCATTGTAAAAGCATCGGTAGTGATGAGGTCAAAGAAGAGGCTCGAGAGGCAAGTAGCTGGGGAAGCAACACAGGGACACATGTATGTAATGCGAAGCATACTCGCGTCGGATGCATAGTGATGTTGGTTGACCAACAGGGCAACAAGGGTTGGAGGTGCAGTGCACTGCGTCGTGCATCCCCGCACCATTATCGGGAGGCAATCCCCTGCCGTTAAAGGGCAGGCGTCGAGTAGGTATAGTTGCTTGGATGGCAAAATATACGGAATGAGGACCACGGGCGGTTTCCCTCGTTAGATTCGAGCCCCCTCCCTCTCCTCATGGATAGGTCAACGTTTTGGCGTTGCATTTTAGCCCTTTGGTATCTTGCTCAGCGCCAGACCAGGATTGCCATCAGTTCCAAGATGCTTGCGATTTGCTCGTTCCCAGTTGCCCTAGCTTCACGGTCTTGACTATACAGATTAGTGTAATCTCGAAGCCCCATGTCGTGCTATGACCGCGTGAACGAGAAGCGGATCCTTTGTCGTGTAATCGCGGAAGATGGCAACGATCTCGTAGATTGCTGCAGGTCGGGCATGCAAGGTGAGGGTGCGCAAGAGCACGCAGCAGAGAAACCGGTAGCCGGGGGAGAGGGAACAACCGCGTGGAAGCAACTGAATGGGGTTGCCCTGAGATTTCTGGCCTTGACTGACCATGCAGTTCCATCATACCCGCATCCAGCCAAAGTGGTGGACGCCGTGCATGGAAGGTGATCCGCCTGCCACGGGGTTCTGCTTGGTCGAGTGGCTTTCTGTTTCTACACTACCACCACCTATTTTCACTGCTTTCTTTCCCTCTATGTCGACTTAGCTTCATGTGTCCGGTTCGTGGAACACATGTCCATCTTTTCTATTGTCTTGTTGAATGGCTGTATTAGGAGGTGATCCGATATGGGCTCGGGGGCGCCAGCTCACACCGGGACCAGTTAGCTCTCCTGGTAGATACGACCTGTTGAGTTCGTCTGCTTACCGTAGAGCAGCCAGCAAATTGTGATAGATTTCTTCCCGGAATAGATGCTTGTTGGCGAGTGCTTCCTGAACTCGTCTCGTCCCTCCACGTTTCCCCTGCAACTGACAACTGGCCCAGGGCATTCCCTCCGGCTACCGGTCCTGAATGTAGGTACGGCTTCTCGACCTTCTGGCGGGACCGAAGGAGTGAGGCTTGCGAAAGACTGACTGGCTTGTTGACTGGGTGGTTGACGGTCTCGACTGACCGACAGGGAGTGGCAAGCAAAATCAACACCATGGGAAACCATGGGGAGGGGGGTGTGTACATGCTTCGCTGCAACATGTATGTAGGCTAATGTAGGACAGCGCATCGGGAGAGACAGATAGATCTTCCATACATGATGGAGACTGGAGAAGCTACTGACGCAGTATCCCGCCGCCGCCCGCGCTGGCATACGCAGGTGTGTGGAAGAGAACCCTCTCACGCATGGCCACGACACTGCCTTGGTGGGGATGGCCCCATTCGAGAATGAGGGGGTTACCTCTTGGCGCGAGGAGAAAAGAGGCTGGACGACTGGAAGGGCGAGAAAAAAAATCAAAATCCAAAAAAAGTCAGAAAAAAGTCCAAAAAATAAAAATAAAAAAATTGTTGTTGTTGATTCTTGCGTGATCAAGCCAACCGTCCACCGTGCTCCACAAAGATCCAAGTCAATCCCAACCACCGACGGCCACCATTGTACCGTGCGTGCATTCGAGGGGTTCAAAATGCTACATTTCTTCTCGTGGCGGATAACCGAGAACATTTGGATTTGATGGTAACAGACAGAGCTGGCTGGACCTGACAGTCTGGCTATTATTAGCGCATAGCTCCGTATGTAGTACGTGGAAGGACAATGGATAGCTTCATCCGTTCGTCTGTAAGAAACTTTCCATAGCTAGAATTGAAAATGGGGTCGAGACCACGGTGGGTAGGAGGAAGACTTTTGATGATGGGTAGCCTCAAGCGTGGAACTGAAGTGTCAACCTCACAAGGCACACTCCGACATCGTCAGGTCAATTGACATGCACCACAGTGGGCGCGCCATCAAAATGGAAGTGTTGCAATGGAGATAAATGCAGCGGCACAGCAATAGGACGGTATCAATCATGCTGAACAGGGCAGTACGACCATAGCCAAAGCAGTTGAAGTTGTCGCCGGCAGATGGGGGAAAACGGGATGGCAGAAGAAATAAGTTAAACGAAACAACGAAGCACCAAATGGAGGCACAATCCAATGCGCGTGTCGATTTCCACATTTCAGTTTTTGCATGTTCCGTCCACTTCCCGTCCTGGTTCCCTTCACTTCCCTTCAAAGCTGAGGCTGGGCCCCACTTCCCTTTCGTCCCATCTGGCGGTTACAAGCCCACATCCTGATCTCGCATTGGGGTAACGACCACTGCGGGCTGGATCGTGACTTCTACTAGTTGATGGTGAGAGGTCGAATAGAAACAGCAATCACGAACAGGGCAGGTGGGCATGGAAGGTAAGGTCGGTACTGAACTCTCTAGGATAGATCTTACGCTCGGATTACCGTACTGTGTGGTATTTGTAAGTATGTACCTCTAGAGGGTGGGAAAGGGAGCCGACTGGGGAGGGGGTCTGCGCTTCGACTGAGCTGCAGCCTTGGTTGAACTAGCGGTGAAGAGAAGATCAAACTAACCTCATTCTGGAAGCTCACAGTGCAGCGAACGAGCTCGGTCGATGTACCCGGCTGAGGTGGTTGATCGCATATGATGCCTCGTTGTAGTGTAGTGTATCATGAAAATGTCGTGGCTATACCTAATGCTGATTTCTCTGTTAGCGCAGAACACATCCCACATCCATTGACAGAGGATAGCAGGGCCAGGCAGGTCTATCCAATCGATCTGATTGGCTAAAATCGCCAGATTTCAAAGTCAGAGAACGAGTTGACAGGAGGAATTCAAACACACGCACACAAACCTCTTATTCTGGCCCAGAACCACTAAAGTCACCAGAATCACCTTCTATAATCGATGGATTGTACGGCATTTCATTTCGTGTCTTCCCCCATGTTCAGAAACCGTGTAAATAGGTACCGAGCGACATACCGGACAGACCAGGGGTGATGAGTATAAAGAAGCATGTCAGGTAAATACAATACTACGGATCTCGAAGTCTTCGGTGCAGAAGCGCTTTGGAGGTATGTATACCTCTAGACCCGACTCGAGCATATGTACGGAGTAGGTAGTACAGCCCAATGCTGGCTTTACTGTAAGCGCGCTTCTTGTGACAGATGCCTCAGAAAGTATTTTGATCCTCCACGGACATCGGTATAGGTGCCTGCCAACTGGTGTTTTCTGTCGATGGCGAGGCTACCTCTACTATGCAGTACTGTTGTATCTATCTGTTCCGTTTGTACCCAAATTCATAGATGTCTGGTAAACTCAACGCTATCTTGCCAACGGGTATAGATATGAACCGACGGCGATATCAAACATCTCACGATAGAGCTGGAACGTGAACAGAACCGGAATTCTTCCTTGGTGAACTCCAGCAATGAATGACCAAAGACGTGTTCCTGAATTATCCACTTGTTATCTCGTCAACGTGTCGTGCGAATTAGCTTCTTGCAAGTGTTCAGGCACATCATTGACTTGCAGGAGCGGGTGGTGGTACATTCACCTCATCTTTCTTGGGATGATGCCAAAATCAAAAAGACTTCAAACCTTCACTGTGCGTGAGAACTACGCTAAAATCCTCTGGTATAGCGATGCTGACTTGTCAATCACTCACCTCCGGCATAGTTTGGGCTGGCCCTAGCCCTGTCGAGCTTTCGAGCCAGGAAGGTACCCAGCGTGTGAACTTGTGTGTCTCGCGGCTTCGCACCTGTGTTCTCCCCCTCTCCACCGTTACAGTTGCTTGCTGCATTCCCGGCCCATGTAAGGCGGAAAACGGTCCGCGCATGCAGCTTGTCCCTGGCGAATAGGATGGGATGGAAGGGGTGTAAGCACGTCGCGGTGCCTTATGATTTGCATAACGCCGGGCAGAGTTCGTGCAGTCTCTCTTGTCCCAACCCAAGGGTTTAAGGATTTTAGTCGCGACGACATCCTTCAAAAAGCAGACATCTCCTCGATGACAACGACAAGCATTTTTGGGCAGGGCAACGACAGTAACCACAACACCAACAACAATGACAGATTGTCCACACCGCAAGAATGAGATGGCAAGAATTGCTACAAAGATAGACCGGCGAGACCGGGCCAGGCCCCCAGGTTCCAGCCCAGCAACCACAACTCTTCGCGCTATCCCCCCCATGGCCGTTGCCAGCGCACAATTCATTGGACCGCGCTCTGATACGATGGGAGGGAGCATGCTGATCTCGAGGTCAGCTCGTCCCCCTCGCCAATATCGAATGGGAGACAGCCGGCCACCTCGACAGGGCGCGTGGTGGTGTAGTTGTGGGCTTGAAAGACGTGGTGGGCCATGATTGGATTGATTACATGGTGGCTTTCCATTTCGTAACCACACCCGGCCAGAAGCTGGCGCGGGAAGATAAAGCCAAACCCGAACGGCAGGTCAAGCTGCATTCGCTGACACCATGTCTTACCATTGAGATCCCGGCCTGGACTGGCCGACCTCTAACAACATCCTTCTCCGGTCGGGGGTCGGTGTTTTGAAGGCAATCAGTCGGCAATCCCAGAGACTAACAACAAAAGGCTTTACAACCTGCACAAGCGATTTCTACTGGCACCTGCCAAGTACCTATCTAGCGAGACTCAAGAGAACAATCAACAAATCTCAGAGGAGGGACGAGCTACGACGATGGAGGATTGGAGTTGGTACTGCGCTGTACAGCGGAGAGAATGTCCTTGAGATTCGGTATCGATATCTGTCATATCTCGCATGCAACGACTCAATAGATATGGGTCGGAGAGGACATGCTATGTGTGATCAGCGGTTAGACCTTTTATCGAGTATTGCTAAAAGCTCTATCGGATCGGACTAAGCAACCTAGCACTTCTAGTTTCAATGCCTTTTCATTCTTCTAAAGCTGAGCCAAGGGTTCTGGTTGTTCCCTGACTGTCTGCCTGGCGGCATCTCAACGACGATACCTCTGTGCAGCTGTCAGAATGTTGAAGGGCCCCATCAGGTTTGATTTCCGTAAATGTATCTACCTCGTCGAGCCCATGATGCTGCTACGAAGGCGTCGGGGCCCTGAGCCCTACCGGGACGCAGGGAGAGCCCACGGGCGGGCCTCCTGGAACTTGAAAAGCTTGTAATCGGCTTCGATGAATGGGACCTCCCGAAGCTTTCTATTTCCGTTCAAGATCCCGGACCCTCCGCGGATGAACTCGGCGAGGCTCCAGCACCTTGAGGGGACTATGGGTGCTGCGAGTCCCATGAAGCACAGGTAGAGTTCCCAGGTGGAACCAAGAGATACACTGTGTACAAGGCGAAACCATCTCCGCTCCATCTTCTCTGACTCTGTGTACTGTGTAAGGCTGATGCGCTGTGCTGCCCAACCCTCGCCCGGACAGGCCTACCCACGTCAACGGCGGCGTGAGGTACAGGTAGATAAAAATCCTGAAACAAGCCAAAGAAGAATTATGATTGGTAGCAATTCATCAATGCAACTAACCGCTCTGCATTCGCTCCATGCAAGCGTGTCCCAGTTCCTTCCTTTCCACGCCAACGGTCTTCTACTATGTAGCGTTCGTTGCCGGCGAATAACGGGTTTAAGCTTTTTTTTTTTTTTTTGCTAGGATTTTATTTTTAATATGATATGTATAATCATACTAAGGTACCATCATCATGTTATGCGTGGGTTCGACATCACCGTCGGGAGAGATTCAACCCATTTATCTCTGCTGATACTCGATACTTCGGTAGTTTTATGTTGGGAGAACTCACCGGTGATAGAGAGGGACCTGCGTGGTCGCCCTTGTCTGCTCCTCAACTTCCCGTTACCACAACTGTGAAATGCAGCGAAGGCAACCCATGATGCAGGGTCTCGGTACGCTACTACCACCAAACCTGTTGTTTTCCGATTCCCGAATCCAGAACCGGGTCGAAATAGGTGTGTCGTGGATCTCAAAAAGTTCACCGGACAGTCAGACATGGATGATTCCTTCTACAATTTTCGTACAAGAGTATACGTAATGTGGCCCGAGTCAATGATCACCTACCGGGAAGCACCTTTCCTTTGGTAATTACCCAACCATAATAAGCTTGGCAGGTGCTTATCAAGTGTTTAGACAGGGCAGGTACTGTTCACTGTCAACGACAATGTCACTGACGATGGGCCTGCATCCATCCATGTCGGCAGAGGCATATCGAAACTGAAGCACATTGAAAAGATTACCTGACCCTGCATGTGCATCTTGCGCAAACGATAGAGGTACGTATGGAGAAACAAGATCAAGTGCTTGTTTCTATCGTAACATTCGCAGACGTACAAGGACGGAAAGGGTTGCTGCTGACATTAAGCCTGAGACTCGAGTCCCTGCCTGAGTGAAGAGGAGAAAATGCTTCGGAAACTTTCAAGGGTACGTGATGGCACCGGGGAACACCCAAGGACAAAAGGTTGTCTCACCATAAGTAGCTTCCTGCTTCAGTGTACCATAGGTAGACGTGAGCCATTCTTGGGTACGTGGATAGGTATGCAATCTCGCTTTTGAAAAATGGATGATCATGAATGCCAAAATTGGCGATTTCATCGTCTCAGTTAGCGAAGCAAGATACGGTCTTGTATTTTCAAACAGAAAATTGGCAAGTTGCCTATGCATCCTGTAGCGAGCGTCAAGAGTGCCACGCATAAACAATAGCCCAACCAACTCGAACATCCCAGCGAGCTCCCCCATGCTGGCTCTTGATTCGAACCTGTTCCCGTAGAGTTAAGAACACTGAATTTCCAGCATCACCGCTTCCGGACCGTATCGTGATACCAGATCCGATGCGCCAGCTAAGTTTGTCTTTTACTATCAGGCGAATAACTGTTGGCCTGGAGGGAAGGTTGTTTCTAAGACGGTACGTACCTAGTATTTGCCCTGCTTTGCAAGAATCGACTTTGACAAGACCAACGAAGTGACCGAGAAACTAGCCAGTCTCCGCGGACCACGAATCTGTTGCGGGACACGTACCAGTGCAACCCCAGAGAACCCCGGGGAACACTTTCCAAGGTGCACGAATTCCAAACAGCCACGCGAAGGAGGCTCCCCCGCACACCTATCATGGAGACCGCTCCAAACAGCTAATACATACTACTCCTGAGCCCTGCGTTGAGGTCCAGTTCCGTGATTGCGTGCCCAAAGCAGAGATCCAAGGCTTCACAGCACACTGATTGTAATCGCCTACCCTCCGACTCGAAATTACGGTGTAGAGATTGGATTGTAGAAGCAAGTATTAGGGAAAGAAGTAGACTGATGTTTTGCGGAAACCATACCGCACCGGCAATGTAGAGCGTCTGAAAACTCCCAGACTTAAGTACCTGAGTACCAGCTACTAGACCTAGCCCCGTGTCGGAGCCGGGCCTGATCAGGTACGTGAGTGGTGAACGATCTGAGATCATTGGTCTGATGGACACCGTTCCCGACGAGAGTAGTAGAAAAGTAGAGATATCAAAGCGCTAGGCGTGGTGCTGCGAGAAACCGGAAGTCATCGTTGATCGGGACCGGGGATGACGGGAAGGTTGCGGCATCGGCTACAGGGCGCTGCCGAGTGGGGTCGCCGATCGGAGATGGTGGGGCTTGCTGCCGGCTGGGCGGGGTAACCGATGAGATTCTTCTCCGGTTGCAGCCGGCCAGCCAACACGGCGCGGGTTTGACGATCCACCGGAATGGGTGTTGCGGCCAGCTCTTTGCCGAATGGCTTTCTGTGAGCGTGTGTGGCAACGCAAACTAATACAGGTACAGCGGGACGCCAAAGAGGAACATACCCGAAGGCAATGGCAATGCTAGAAGTGAAGTGGAGCAGAACAGTGAGTGTAATGCCTCCTTGGCTGCTTAGCATGCCTTGAAGAAGTGCTTATTAGCTCCCTATTCGCTCAACGCTTCGAGGACGCAAGTAGACAAAACAGAGACATTATGCCTCGCTCCAGTCTTTACACCGACAACAATTTACAGACATTGCACTAAATCGCTTTTCCACGTGTAGGGTACATACCCGCGAGGGTCTCTTACATCGTACAGGACTGATCAAAGGAGCGTTCTTTTGGCGATCGCTGGGAAAGGTGGTGTTTTCGAGAGGTCCGTGACACCGACAACGCTTTGATGCTGTAGGGCTCATCCAGTTCATTCTCAAGGCCACAAAGTAAACCCACGAGACGGGTTCCGAAGCTCCGACCGTGAATTCTCCGAGACCATCGGATGCCAAGTTGGTCTGCTTGGTAAGGTGTTCTGACTCAAGAGAGCGCATACTCAAGGCGGACGCAGCAGGAGACCAAAGCAGGCTGGCAGACCTCATCTATTGCATGTTGGAATCCGGTCTGATTCTGCAATGTCCTGCAAACCTCTTTCGCGTTCTGGGACGTTATCACAAGCACGCAATCAAGCATCAGCAGGGGCAGTAATACATATGCACTGGATATTTGACCTGTCCGGCGCCGCCTGATCCTACATAATGTCTGCCTGTTCTTATGTTATTGTAAATAACCTTTTTTTTTTTTTTTTTTTTTTTTTTTTTTTTTTTTTCTTCAAAAGCCCGGACCACCGGTTCAAATGAGATGGGACGTTTTGGGCACTGACCGGGCCGGACCGGTTTTCGTCGATTCCATGGGATCTCGGCGACATGATGCATGTGTAGACATCTAGTTGTTCGCTTGGATGGAGATCGACGAAAAATCCCCCGTAGTGAGTACTTGTCGACAATGGCAAGTGGGCCAGCATGAGACCTGCATAGAACGAGTAGAGGGATATTCATGAAATCCAAGGATCATGCACATGATTGAATGGCTTCAAAAAAGCTCTCGGTTTTGTTAGATAGGTGTAATCAATGATACCGTTCAAGTCCACTTGGGGCTGAGGAAGAAATAGGGTATTGTGACACACATGACAGCAAATCCTGGATTGTTAGAGGCAAAGCAGAAAAAGGTTGCTATGGGGAAGGAGCTATGATAGTGCGATTGTAGCTTCTGCGGCCAACACGCCCCCACGTTACTAACAAATGGCGAGCATTGACGAGGAGCATATGCATAACACACTAACATGACCCCATCCTCGGAGGGGAACACTCGTTTGGATCATCTAGTGCCTGAATGCGCAGAACTGACGTTATGTTGAATGCATTCCTGAACGGGGCCATTGAACACCAAACTCCATAATAAGCACGACAAATCGCCCGATTGAGAGAATGATGAGGCGAAGTTGGAGAACCAATGACTGGATCACAGAGCAAGAGGGTGTATCTGTTGTTCTTCTGTTCGGTTTTTGTCTCGTTTCCCATCCCCTCCTGGCATACTCCCCGAGCGGTTTCTGCGCAACCTTGGCAATCTGGCAAGTTGCCGCTCGGGCATTTGTCCTCACCCGATGACTTTTCACTTCCTGGTGCCGGCGGCCATCCGAGGATCTCCACGCCGGGCCTGGGCGGTAAAGTGAAGATATAACACACTCCGTCCAGCCCTGAGAACTGTTATTCACCAAACGATGAGTCTGAGAACCGGCCCCAACCTCTCGTAAACATTACCTGGACTTACCTCGTAGTTCCATGATAGAGGTACCTCTACGCCTCCGGCATAATCAAACATGATGTACCCCTTACGTCTCTGCCTTCTCAAGTCAAAGGTCCAAGCAACAGCGGGAACCTGTTGCGTCTTCGTTGCAACTCCCACCCGAGCTAATGTCGTTCCTAGGCACCTGCTGGCCCATGGCTTAACCCTACCTGACCTGGACACTTGCTGTCTGCTCCCGTTGACAGCCCTGTTCACGACGGCAATAACTGGGAGGCCCAAGAAGCCATAGATTTGCTTCACCGTCTGCTGGTGTTCGAATAGTCGGTTCCTACCTCAAAGACCATGACTAAAGCCGTCAGAAACGAAATCGAAGTGTCACGGACAGAGTGGACGTCGACTGTTCCTGTACACAGTGAGATGGCTCTACACTGCGTAGGTATGCACACATAAAAATACAACCGCCATCGGGGAGGCTAGCTTGTCACAGTCGGCTTGCGGCAAACACACTGTATACTTGAAGAACACACATCATGATGTCCACAGCTTCCAGCGGACGCTTGATTGCCCATTATCGTTGGTTCCAGTATCAACCTAGTAGCAAGAGAAAAAAATAAGGTAGCCAGCTAACCAAAAGTGGCTTTCAGTTTGCATCTGGCTTTCAAACTGTCACTCTTGCTTTTGCTTTTCCTCCGCAGCCGTTAAGACAGGACAGGGCCGGTTGTAAGGCGCATTTGAGAGGCTTCCCTTCCACATACCTCCTGGCTCGCCTCCCTTTTAGTTACTTCTATCTTTCAACATTGCATCTTGTATGGGTTGTACCTGCTTTTTATCATTCCGCAGAGCAACTAAGAAATTGCACCGCATGTGTGACTAAGGAAACTTTGGATCTTCAACGATGCTGAGAGTTGGCGAGATGCAAAAGTTGACTAGCAGCATCTGGCTCGAACCCTTGCGCTAATGCTGAACAGGCAGTGAATTACTGCGTGGTATACCCGCTCAGTTCTGTTTGGGTCAATGTAACGAGAGAAGAGAATTGAATATCCAGATCGCGACCGGAGTGGTTGGTTGACGCCCACTTTCTACTATGGCGAGATGGGTAAGTTAAACCCGTGGATCAGGTCGTTGGACACACAGTGCCCACGAAGCTCTGGCTTTGGTGGTCTGTGTGAGATACCTGACAGGGAGGTAAAACTTTGGCTCGCAACCGCAGTAGGTTGTCCGGGGAGGGGGTTTGTAATAACAGGGATAAACAAGGCTTGGACCCTCGTAGCGAGAGGTAGCTACGTGCTTACGTACTAGGCCGTTTTCTTTTTCTTATTTTATGTTTGCTAGGCGGGGGAGGGGGGGGGGGGGGGAGGGGGGCAGGAAGCCATTGGGGCCTCCGCCTGCCAATCAGAGTGGCCTGTGGATTCAAGGAACCGAGAGACGAAGGCTCGCTTTCCTCCCGTAGAGATACCTGGTACCTTGCTGAGGTAGGTAGATGAAATAGCGGAGCACTAGTGGGTACTCACCACAGGTGGAAGTTTCCCAGCAAGCACTGTACTTGCCCCAGCACACCCGCTCCCACACGCCCGCGGGCTGGGCAGGCCCCAACACTCTTAGGTTGTCGTGGGCGGGCCTACGGCGCCAGTGAGGTAGGCCTGGCTACCTACTTGACTTTACCAGGGAAGGTACCTACCTACCTACTGTGTGTGATGATGCGAAAACCGAAACGGTCAACCGGCCGGCCTGTTGTCTGTTTTCCTCAGTCCAGCCTTCGCCTAGTACCCGTCTGTCTATCCATCCGACCCCGGGCTCTCCATCTCGACTTCCCGTCCTCGCTCCTCACCACCGCCGTGACCTAAATCCAGCCGGGCCCCGTCCTTCCTCTCCCCAGCTCTTCCCACTTCAGTTCCTTCGCTTTCCTTACCCCAACTCCCTCTATCCACCCGCCTCCCCATTTTCTCCCACCTGCACGTCCTTTGGCAGAGAGGTGCATTGCGAGGAAAGCAGGTTCCTGTGAGGTCAAGTTAGTTGAGAAGGACAAGGTAAGTGTGTACGCTGCGCTGGACTCGCAACTCGAGCAGCCGTCTGAACGGGGAACACTCAAAATTTTTTACGGGCGAGCTAACCCCTCAACTTCAATCTCTTAGACCGACACCAGCACGCAGCCATTCACCCATTACGCGTCGAGACTATTCCACTTCACCTCTTATCCGATCAGCCATTCACCTGCATTAGTGGCCCAGGTTGCCTTGACCACCATCCTCGGGGAAATCGATAAAACAAGAGTCACGACTTGGAGCTTGAAGCGTCCTTTTTTTTTTTTTTTCCATTTGGTCTCGGCAAGTTTTGTTTTATCACAAGGACACGATCGACCTTCTCTCTCGGTGTTCCGGTTCTTGTTGCATGAGTGTGCTCTGCCTCGATCAGACCACGCATCGAAGCTGCATTGCGTCTTTGGTTCTGCATAAGATAAGGCTTGGAAAACCTCGATACCAACTGTGGCCATACTTGGAAGCATTGCATCAACAGGGCACAGATCGGAGTCCGGTACGGCGTGATCGGAATAGCTGCCACATTTCATTTACAGAAGAACATGCCACAGCTCCTTTACAGAACTTATAAGTAGTCGGACGGTCCTTTAACCTCGTTACCTTTTTCGGTTTCTTGAAAAGGCATTGAGTTGCAAAAACGCGAACAACGCCTGGACAACCCATCGTTCGTTGACTCCCACCACAGCCAGTCCCCACATCAGCGCCAACTGCCGCTCATCATCCAGCAGTACTCGACACAAGCATCACGCCCCGGATACATCAACGCACATACGTACGGTCCCACACTCTCGGGACCTCGTTGCCCGACATACCCTCCGGCCATCAACTCTTTAGTCCACCGGGCCAGCAAGGCTTAGGACCCGAATCCTATTCGACCATGAACCCCAACGGACCAGCCGACGTTTACTACGGACAAATGTCCCAGGGCAGTTCGATGCCCGTAACGACGGTGCCTTCCCACTCCCATTACGCTTCTCAGCAGCCTCCGCCACTGTTGCAACCTGGTTCAACCTATGCTCACCAGTATGGTAACCCCCAATACGGATATGCCAACGCTCTTAGCTCGCCGGCTTCGATCCCGCCGTCTCTCCCCCCGTCCATGAACTCGATGGCCGGCCAATCGGTCTTGCCGCTTCCTGGTAGCGGCAGCATGAATCCTGCTGTTTACGCCGGCGGCGGTTTCGACACAACTGGCCAAGTAGCACCCCCCGGTATGAAGCCCCGTGTCACTGCCACGCTGTGGGAGGATGAAGGCAGTCTGTGCTTCCAGGTTGAAGCAAGAGGCATCTGTGTTGCTCGCAGGGAAGACAATGCCATGATCAACGGCACCAAGCTCCTCAATGTCGCTGGCATGACCCGCGGACGCCGTGACGGTATTCTCAAGAGCGAGAAGGTCCGTCACGTTGTGAAGATTGGCCCAATGCACCTCAAGGGTGTCTGGATCCCCTTTGAGAGAGCTTTGGATTTTGCCAACAAGGAGAAGATTACTGAGCTTCTTTATCCTCTGTTCGTACACAACATCGGTGCCCTCCTCTACCATCCCACCAACCAGAGCCGGACCAGCCAGGTCATGGCTGCTGCTGAACAACGCAGGAAAGACAGCCACGGCCAACTTCGCGGGCCCCCCGGGTTGCCATCCCTCCAACAACATCATCACCACTCCATGCTTCCAGGCCCCCCGTCCTTGCCCTCGCATCCTTCCATGGGACGGCCGGCGCTTGACCGTGCACACACCTTCCCTACACCGCCAACTAGTGCCTCGAGCGTGATGGGCCCAATGGGCAATTCGGACGGCTATCAGTGGAGCCAACAGAGCATGAATGGCACGCAGGGCAACAGCTCGCTTTCTCTTGACACAAACCTTGGTAGCAACGCTCGGTCGATGCCAAGCACGCCGGCAACGACGCCGCCAGGTTCGACAATCCAGAGCATGCAGAACTATCCGCCCGTCAGCCAGTCGTACGAAAGCTCTCGACAGATGTACCAGGGACAGTCTGCTCAACAAGCTCAGTACCAGAGCCAACAGCACTACTCTAGCCAACCGCAGCATCAAGAGCGGTCCGTCTACAGCCAAAGCAGCTATATCAAGAACGATATGGGCCCGCCGTCTGGTAGACCTACCGGCCAGTCCAATGACGCATCCGACTCCAAGCCGCCTACTGGCATGATTCACCAAGGCCAAGGGCAGAGTGACCCCGGTACTCATGCAGGTTCCGAAGAGGATGATGATGCGAACAACGAGGCCGAGTACACCCACGACAGCGGCGGCTATGATGCGAACCGCGGGTCTTACAACTACAACACACAAGCCGTCAACTCGCTGCCGCACGATCACGGTCTTGCTCCTGAAATTGGCGGTTCCCCCCATCAAGCTGGATCAGGCCGCGCGACGCCAAGAACCGCAGCGGCGCCTCCGAGCTACTATTCAGCGCAGGGTTACCATACTCCCCCGCGCGGCCAACCCTCGAGCAGCTTGTACAATGTTATGAGCAACGAGCGGACCGGTAGCAACGGCACTCAGGGAAATGAGATGTACGCGGGCCAGGCTGACATGCCCAGTTCCCTGCCGAACGGCTACTCGGCCCAGCCATCCGTTATGAACGGGAGCTCCGGTGGGCTGAAGCGAGGACGGGACGATGACGATGATGGCGGTAGGCCTACGACCGGCGCCCCAAACTTGGGTCCAGGAATGGATATGAAGCGTCGCAAAACGATGATGGACGGCGGCAGCCTCCCATCACCTACATACACCGCCACTATCGCGCAAGCCGCACCATCAGCTATCGCGGCCCACAGGCGGAGATAAACAATGAGTGAGGGGTATGTCGCCAAACTTGATGCCCGACCCCTCTGGAAGTGTCTCGTGCCATTTTCCTTTTCTTTTGTTGTTTTATGACGCTTTCATGTTCGGCTTGACGACGCTTATGACCTTTATGTTATGACTTTTGTTCGACTAAAAAAAGGTGGGACGGGAGTGGGTGTTGTCGAGAAGCGCGGGGGGAAGGGGGGTGGTATGCTTCTTTTTATCTTGTCTGATTTCGGCTTGGAAACACATTGGCTCGGTGGGCTGCCTTTCTCAGGGTCACGACTTTATGAAGGAGCTTGTAAATACGACTTTAGAGGATCATCATCAATGCATGCGTGGGTTGAGTGGTGCCTGAGGAGCCTTGGGTTAGCCTTCATCACTCAACTCTTTTTATAGCGTACCTTAACTTTTACACTGCACGGGAAATCCATCCAATATGTGCTGCTGTGGCGTTTTATGTGCCGGGACCTGACACTACACGATAATAATAGCGGAAAATGGAAGTCAAGATACGCAAGTAGCACGGCAACGCACGTCCCTCGTTTGACTCGCGAACAGGCTCACACCTGACAGGACCAGGCACGCCAGGGGCAAGATGGACACATTGGATCGATGTAGAAGTCGTGGTTCCGGTAGGTACCTACTAATGGTAAGCTCAAGCTGAGCTCTTCTGCGTAGTGTACGGGGTACATCTGGGCCACGGGCCAGCACAAGTGGAAGGGAAGCACAGCTTGCCATCCAATGCCAGCCGGGCAGGCTCGTCAGTGCCCCCCAGGGCATTTTAGAGGGAGGGACACACAGCGCGACTGCCCCTGGCGACGGTTGCATGCCGGGGAAACAAAAGAAATGAAACACAAGTGCAGGCGGGGGGGTAACGCTCAACGCAACCTAGGTAGGTGCAAGACTACCTCTCGACCTGGACGTCAATCGCAGTCCACACTTTTGCTCATTTCCTGTGATGAAGGAATCCCTCTGAATCCACAACCACCATCGACCGCGACCAAGACCCGATTCATCCCCCACTATTTCCGCCTTCGACTAGTCTAGGGGAATACCTCGGGGGCTGTAGCAAGCAAGGCACGCCACGCTTGGTTTGGTTACGCCCTCGTCTGCGGCTCTGACGACGCAGATTAGGATGCTTGGGCCGCTTTCGCCGATGCCGACTGCTGTTCCTCTCAATCTTTCAACCCCTATTAGCAACCGTCGACAAGAAATTTCCGACATCATGGATATGGATCTAGATGACGCTCCTTCGAGGAGAAACAATACACAACAAACTACCGCGGGCGACAACGCCGACAACAGCAAGAGCAGCGAAGCTGACAACACGACATCGCCGCCCATCGGTCGTGATCCCTCGCCGCCGAAATCTGCCCGCCCCATGTCGCGCATCATCTCTGGCAACGAGCTCTCCCCTCTCAAGATTCTCCAGCACCAGGCGCAACCGCAGCCATTGCCGGAAAGCGCCGACTCCCCTCTATCGCCCGTGGCAAAGAGTATGGCCCCGCCCCCGCTTCCCCAAAGCGCCCGCAAAACACCCATCAAGCGTTTCCCCGTCAAGGTCAACCCTTCATTGCCTGGCAGCGAGACGACGCGCTCCTCGTCACGAGACTCGCAAGATCGTCGGATAAGCCTGCAGGACGTGATACGTGAAAACGGAGGCATCAAGCAAGCCATCGACATATTCGAGGACGACGATGTTGACATGACCGGCATCGAGGGAGACAGTGGTTCTAAGGACACACTGCTACAAAATACGTCAGGCAATAGCACGGGCAGCGAACATGAACAGGCGACACGCGAAGAATCCGTCTGCGAAGGGAACGATACCATTGTTAGCACATTCAGCACATTTTCGGCTGTCCCAGACCTCACCAAGTTTTCACATATGCGATCCGAGAGCGCAAGCAGGTTCTCGGTGCTCGGTGGAGGGGTGTCGCCTGCAAAACAGACACCGCGCGTAAACGGCCTGGTGCCGGACAATAAAACAACGACCGGGAAGAAGAGAGACTTCGACTCGGGCAACGCCTCAAACCTGCTAGACTTTACGGATTCGTCACGATATGGAGGCTATGGAGCACCACAGGCGTCGCCCACACGCCGTACCCAGTTCGCGTCGCCGCGGCCTGGTAGCACTGACACCACGACGCCCCAACGCCCGGGCAGCAACCTTTCCAACATTCTCGATTTCGACATCCCACCGATGCCGACACCGCGTAGCGTCCCAACTATTACCCCGCGCGAACTCGAAACCCTGAAATCGGGCTTCCTTTCTGAGATCAGCAGCCTCAAGGCCTCGCTGAGCGGCAAGGAAGCAGAAGTCACGTCGCTGAAAACCGCTGTGAGCGACGCCGAGAAGCGGGTCGGCGAGTGCATGGAACGGCTTCACGAGGTGGAGAGCATGCATGAGTCACTAGAGGCTGAGAAAAATACCTGGGAGCGACGGGGGCGAGAAATGGAGGCCGTGTTGCGGCAGGTCAAGGAGGAGATTGTGCTCGGTCGGCGCGAGAGGGAGGAGCTCGAGTTCAAGCTGGACGAGGCCGAGAAGCGTCGGGAGGCGGCCGAGATGATGGCCCAGGATGCCGAGAGCAAGATGGCTGGCATGCGTGCTGGTAAGGCCAGCGCGGAGGCCGCTGCTCACGAGTCGCCTGATAAGGCAAGGGGACAGCCATCATCCAACAAAGAGGTGGAGATGGCGGTGGAACGCGTGGCTCGTGAGCTTCATGCGCTGTACAAGAGCAAGCATGAAACCAAGGTGGCGGCGCTCAAGAAAAGTTACGAGAGTCGCTGGGAGAAGAAGGTGCGCGACTTGCAGACGCAGGTGGACGAGCTTGGCCGGGAGAACGAGGAGTTGCGAAAACAGAGGGACCAAGATAAGACGGCGTTGGCGACCCTTAACCCGGCGCGGCTTACTGAGCTGGAGGAGGAGCGCAAGGCCGATCGGGCGCGGAATGCCGTGCAGATCAGGGAGTTCGAGGCCGAGGTGGAGAAGCTCGTGGCTATTCTCCAAACAGTCAAGGACGATAACGACGAACTCAGGGCACTCTTGGAACAGGAGAGAGTTGAAAAGGGAGAACTAGTTCGTCTCGCCGAGGAGATGATGAGTATGCAACAAGAACCGCCCGCGCCCGCGCCCGCGCCCGCACCTGCGCCTACCCACCTATCGACCTCCAATGGCCGGGGACGTGCCGACCGTAGGGGAAGCGATGTCAGCGCCACTAGTAACGGCGACAGCGGTCATCACGCGCCGCAGCCAGCGAGTATGACCTCCAAGATTGGAGCGAAGCCACGACTTGGTCTCGGAGGTGGGCCGGGAGCGGTACGTGCGCCCATAAAGACACAGTCAGCATCCGGAATTGCTCCTCCGTCGGGCATGGAGGGGGCCTTCCGGGCTGGTGGTGTCGGACGCCCAACTAGCATGAGGGCGCCTGGAGGAAGTGGTCTCGGGCTGAAGGTCTCGGCGGGGACTAGAATTGGGCTCGGTGGCGGCTCGGGTCATGGAAGGGCTCAGAGCGCTACGACATCAGGACCAAATGGCGTGAGTGGGTTGCCGCGGCCGGGGTCGGGGATGGGATTGAGAGGTAGCGGGACCTTGGGTGGTGGTGGCTTCGGTGGTACGGGAGGTTATCGGGGACACTGAGGAAGTGTGACCAAGCCTACTACAAGGACTATCCAAGCCAAGCCTGGTTGCCCTCTTGTTATGAAGGTTTCGAAGCAGCAAGACAAAGGAGGTGGAAACGAGGGGAGCAATGGTGACACAACCAGAACGACAGCGAAACGAACTGATGCGAAATGAGTGCGTTCCATTTACCTTTTTGACTTTTCTACCTTATATCCACATACACCCTTGTTTTGCCTTTTGTCTGGCTAGGTCAAGGGCGAGACTGTGTCTTTAGGATCTGTACAACAACACAGATGGAGTAATACAATCATGTTTCTGTTTGTTCTATACCATGCTTGCGTCTCTTCTATATATAGATATGATCGGTGCCATAGATACATACATACCCTTTGCTTTAGGAATTGTTTCTCTGTCATCTTCTTTCGTCAAATTTCCTTTTACGCGCCACTGTCATAAATAAGCCTTTGAAACTGTGGCGGCTTTGGCTAGAGCTATATACGTCAAATGCTATGCTTACGGTATACTCGTCCCTCGGACCGTCAGCATTGGTGCTTTGCCAGGTCGATTAAGACAGATTTACAAATAAAGGTGCATCTTGACGCAGTCATCATGTCAGCCAATATACTACTGCGTTGGGCGGAAACTGGTTGATCAACCACAGTGTCTTTCTACTATGCCCCTAAATACAGAGAAACAAGATGGGATGAAAAGCTTGGACTTGTATCTCTAAACCACCCATGATTTTCCCACCTTTTGAGCCCCGTTGATAAGTTAAAAAAACAAACAAACAAACAAACAAACAAACAAACTTCAAGCCATTGCCGCGCGTTCGACCCAACTTTAAACCGCCAACCTCTCATGCTTAAACCTCTTTTTCCCCTCTCCCTCTCCATAAACCGCACTGACATGTCCCTGCCCCCTAATCTTGTACTTGTAAATCATTAACCCCTCCAAGCCCACAGGACCGCGTGAGTGGATCTTGTTAGTGCTAATACCGACTTCAGTACCAAAGCCGTAGCGCATACCGTCCGCGAACCGGGTCGACGCGTTCCAGTACGCGCCCGAGGCGTCCACGGCCGACATGAAGCGCTCGGCCTCGGCCTGGTCCGCGGTCAAGATCGCTTCGGTGTGATGCGAGCCGTGCGTATTGATGTGGGCGATGGCTGCTGACAGGTCGGGGACGGTCTTGACTGCGAGGGTGAGGGAGAGGAATTCGGTATTGTAATCCTCGGGAGTGGCGTCTTTGATGTTGGTGATCTCGGGGAAAAGGGCGGCCTTGGAGGCGGCGTCGCATCGCAGCTCAACGCCCTTGGCGGCCAGGGCGGAGGCGACGGCGGGGAAGACGGTGGTGAGAGCGGATTCTTGGACAAGTAGGGTCTCGACGCTATTGCAGGCGGCCGGGTAGCTGGTCTTGGCGTCAACGACGACGTCAGCGGCCAGCTTGGCGTCGGCAGAAGCGGTCAGATAGATGGAACAGAGACCATCAGCGTGGCCGAGGACGGGGATCTTGGTGTTCTCCTTGATGTACCGGACCAGCTCGTTGGATCCGCGGGGGATGACGAGGTCAATGTCGCGGTCGAGGGCGAGCAGCTGGGGGATGGACTCGCGCGTGGTAACGAGCTGGATGGCGTCGTTGGGTACCTGGGTTTGCGAGAGCGCATTGGAGATGGCGGTACTGATGGCCACAAACGACTCGGTCGACTCCTTGCCGCCCTTGAGGATGGCCGCGTTGCCGGACTTGACGGCCAGCGCGGCAATGTTGGCGATCACCTCCGGACGAGCCTCAAAGATGATGAGCAGCACGCCGATCGGGCAGGTGACGCGCTCCAGCTCGAGGCCGTCGTCCAGCTTGGTACGAAGGGTGACGCGCCCGACGGGGTCCTCCAGGTCGCGCACGTCCAAGATGCCCTTGAGCATGTCCTCCCACTTGCCCGTCTTGCCCAGGTCGAGGCGGGACACCAGGCTGGCGCTCAGCTTGCCGTCGGCAGCGGCTTGGCGGGCCAGCTCAAGGTCGCGGGCGTTGGCGGCCAGAATTTCGTCGCGCGCGGCAGTGAGGCCGGCGTGGATGGCCGTCAGGGCGTCGTTGCGGGCCTCGGCCGAGAGCGTGGCCAGCACGTGGGAGGCCGACTTGGCCGCCCGAGCCGCATCGGCGGGACTTGCGTTGGTGAGAGACATGGCTGTGCGTCGTCCTAGTGTAAACCAAATTAGCTACCTATATGAGAGGAGACCTTGAAAGTTGGTCATGCTGGCTGGATGGCAACTCACCTGAATTCAAAAAGTGGGGTTTGACTTATAGAGACGGGGAGTGATGATAATATGTACAGATATGTACCGTAAGTACCGTTGCGGTGGGTGCAGTGATGTTCCGGGTAGGTACTACCTCCCGTCTCTATGGGATAACAAAGTTTTGACTCAAGTGGAAGGTCCCGCTCTCTCGTTACGGGGGGTGAGTCAAAGTTCTGGAACTTGTTCCGTCTTGGCCTCTCCGCCCTGTACCTACCTCTAGGTAGCCTCCGCCGTGTCTTCGGCGTCCGTGCCGTTCAACATACACTACCGTGAGAGGTCTCGCTACCGCGCCGTGCAAGGGGGAGTTCAATGCCCAAGGGTGCCTGTACACGTACTGTGGTGGCTCCGTAACCGTTCCGTCCAGGCGCCGTTCAGTGGGTAGTGCCATCGGATAGTGCATTGCGTGCCGAAGACCCGAGCGGGAGCGGGCTGGCTCCGGAAGTCGGAAGCGGAAACCAGTAGGAACCAATAAGAAACGTTTCCCACCCCCCCCCCCCCCCCCATCACCGGGCCGTTCTTTGTGCCGCTGCTGTCCTTTTGATCAGGAGCGGCTCGTGCTACAGTAGAAACCCCTGCTTTTGCTAATAATCCCGGCAGCCAGATTTTCTAGCAAAAGGGGGGGTTTTGCAAAAGAGGGTGCTTGCGCACAGACCAGGTAGAAGCCTCTTGGCCATTGGAAGCCCACTGATAGGCTTAAAAAGTGGGACAAAAGTGGGTCATTTGAGCCAGCTGCCCCCCGGTACAAGGGTATAAGTGCTCTCTCCCACCAAAATCTGACCCCTGCTTTTGCTAATCCGGGCCGCCAGCGTTGCGAATTGCAGTTTGTAGTCCTAGCCACCAGAGGGAATGCGGGCAGTAGAAATCTTTAGCAAAAGGGGGTGATTTGCAAAAGGGGGGGTTAGCAAAAGCAGGGGTTTCTACTGTAGCAACTTGAGATCACATGAACACCGCCAAAACGAGGAAGGGGAAATCCCACGATGAATCATTCCGATTGAAACCCAACGTTGTGTCGCCCTCGTTGATACGATATGCCATCATGCGCAACGGAAAGCCATGTGCATATGCTCCGACGTTGTCACCGTTAACTATCGGCATCTGCTGTGGAAGGCCTTCGGAACTTCCATTTGTTCGAACTTCGAGGAAGCAGTTCATCCTTTCTAGCGGCCGCTTGGTAATGGGTCCATGTCGACGGTGGATGTTCGTGGGCGCCAAGGCAGAATGAAGTGACCTTACACCTCTATGCTTCGTTCTGGAAGGCGCACCCTGGCATCGAGATTGCTATCGGCACCTTGCCCAAAGGAGGACACTGAACAGTTGGTGAGCAAGTGCAAGTGCAGTGCGGTGGATCGAGTCAACGGACGGCTCACCCGCCCCTGCCCTTTTCGTTATTCCTGTTCCATGCCGAGGACCAAGTTGGTGCTTCAGCTACCTTACTTATCTCAGACTTGTTGCGGTGACCTGACCGACTCCTTCCTCGTTCTCCTCCTCATCTTGGCTTTGCTGCTCTCTCTATCTTTATTTTATCTTCTTGTCTTGTTACATATATCTTTACTGGTCGGTTTTGTCGCACTACTCGATTTATCTACCAGCTGGCGTGTCTTGGTCATCTATATTTCACAGTCGCGAGCACCCGTCTTGCCATTTAGCTTCAACTGTTCATACGTGGGCATATCTTAGCTATATATTTCCGCTCCCTGCCTTGAACATCCTCGCTGCTCGTTTCCAAGTTCCAAGGGACTGGAATCTGTCCTACAACTGCCCTTTGCGACCATCTATAACTCCGTGATAGGCTTTGGGTTTTATCCATACCCGCATTTGCATGGCGGCTCCGAGTGTTCCCTCCACTTACTTATACTCAGATCGCCACCAAGTACCACCATGGACGAACGACATCCAGAAAAAGAATCCCCAAGGCCAGTGGCTCTCGCTAATACACAGGAAACCTTCTCCGGAGGGGTGCCAGAGAAGAAGGGCACAAAGGAGCAAATGACCTCTTCAGGTTCTGATACTGACGGACCTGAAGTTGTCGACGGTTCCGGTCATGAACCAGGCCCAGAACAGGACAAACCTCATCCTGGTGGCGACTCCACATTGCCTCAGCCCTATCGCATTCTCTCTTCGTCCCGGGCCCATACGGCTTGTGTTGTCGCAAGGGCGGAACGTAGGGGGCTCTTGGCTCGCTTCGCTTTCATTCCCGAGGTTGAGCGTCCTGTTGAATACAAGAACAAGACGAAATGGATGATCACGACCATAGTTGCACTCGCAGCTGCTGGCGCCCCTTTTGGCAGTGGCATCTTTCTTCGTAAGCAATGAGGCCACATTCAGTGAGCTTGGCTTTGTGGCGTCCGGAGACTGACATTCAATACAACAGCTGCTCTTGAACTGATGGCTGATGACCTACATACATCGCCAACTATCACCAACTTGGCCGTTGCCTTGTACATGCTAGCTATGTCAATATTTCCCCTCTGGTGGTCATCATTCTCGGAAACGTTAGGCCGACGGACGATTTACATTGCCTCTTTCACGTTGTTTGTTGTATTTTCGGTCCTGAGTGCTGTCAGCGTAAATACTGCTATGCTTGTGATAATGCGCCTTCTTGCTGGAGGAGCATCAGCATCCGTGCGTACCATTTACTTTAAACCACGCAACAATAAAGACTGATCCATAAACCCCATCAGGTACAAGCCGTCGGTGCTGGCACTATCGCCGATATTTGGAAGCCAGCAGAGCGCGGACGAGCCATGGGAATCTTCTATCTTGGCCCCCTAATCGGCCCTCTGTTGTCCCCCATCATCGGCGGAGCACTTTCCCAGGGGTTCGGGTGGCGATCAACCATGTGGTTCCTCGCCATCTACGGCAGCTGCACTTTGATCCTGATCATCTTCGCCCTACCCGAGACGCTCACCAAGCGCAAGCCCCTTCCACCGCCGCCCGCTGAGAACAACGAGCTCAGGCGTGTCTCGACACGCCAGTCTGTCGCCGAACACTCTAAACGCGCTGGCGCTATCACTAAGCGCTTCATCATCGAGCCTCTCGAGGTACTCCTTTACCTGCGATATCCCCCAGTTCTGGTGTCTGTTTACTCTGCCGCCATAGCGTTCGGTGCTCTCTTCATCCTCAATATCTCTATTCAGACAACCTTCCATTCAGCACCCTACGGTTACTCTACCATTATCGTCGGCCTCTTGTATTTACCCTCTTCTCTCGGCTACATTGTTGCCTCACTTCTCGGGGGACGATGGACCGACAAGATTATGATGCGTGAGGCCCGCAAGGCTGGCCGCTACGATGCTGATGGCAACCCCATCTTCCTGCCCGAGGACCGCATGCGTGAGAACATCTGGTTAGCTGCCAGTATGTATCCCGCCGCCATGGTTTGGTTCGGTTGGACGGCGCAGCACGGTGTCAATTGGATCGTGCCCTGTGTTGCCAACTTCTTCTTTGGCTGCGGGTCCATGCTCGTCTTTGGTGCCGTCACGACCATGTTGACCGAATTCATGCCGCACCGGAGCAGCAGCGGTGTGGCCGTGAACAACTTTGTGAGAAATATTTTCTCGTGCGTGGGCACAATCCTCGCTCAGCCGCTCATTAACGCCATGGGGATTGGGTGGTTGTGTACCATGATCGGGTTGTTTGCGTGGGTTACTGGCAACCTGGCAATTTGGCTGTTGAAGAGGAACGCGGCCAAGTGGAGGGAGAGTATGGATAACGCGTTGAACACGAAGACTTGAGCTTGATCAGCTAGTAGCGTGTCTGTTGCTGTGTGGGCGGTTTCACACCCAAAGGTGAAACATTAAGCGGAGGATACCAAAGAGTAAACGTCTGAGCGTTTGCTTCTGATGGAAAAAGGATTATGAAGACAAGGATGTCAATGGTTTGGTTAGATACATATCGATGTAGAGGGCATACACAATGAACATTCAGCGTTGGATGGGTAAGGTGTATTATAAGTCTAGTTTTAATCAGTGGTGTATACCCGCAGAGGCTTGATCTTTCCCTCTCAATGTAACGTCATTCATCCTTGTGCATTCTCTGGTGATCACAAGTAGGTGCATTCCGAAGTCGACAAAGACATATGCTAGTGCTGCTTTAGGTGTGGTTGAGCTGAGCATGGATATCGCCTAGGAGCCCAAGAGGCCAGAGTATTTTCCCACGGAACCACTTTCCTCTCTGCTCGCCAACCAGCACCACAAGACGTCTTACTTGCAGTTACCCCCTCCTCCTTCTTCCTTTTTTTTTTTTTTTTTTTTTTTTTTTTTTTTTTCTTTCGGGCCGTGACCACAATATCACTCCAACATGTCAATACGATAGACACTCCAAGAGAAATAGCTTTCAGTCTCGTTTCACCAAGCGTGCGGCGAGTGCTAGCTGTCGACTAGACACATCCGCTCCTTGTCATTCAACTCACGGCGGTAGCCGAGAAAATTTGCACGATCTATTCTCTCACAGATGAAGCCATCACCAGCTATCCACTCACCAGGCCATGCCCTTTGTTCATGATCGCAGCTAGCCTATATCTGGAAGTTGAAATATAGGTTCAAAATCTTCCGCCTGTAAACCATCAATTAGATAAGATTCCCTCGTGGCGCAATTGGCTAGCGCGTCAGACTGTTAATCTGGAGGCTGTAAGTTCGATCCTTACCGAGGGAGTTGTCCAATTATCTATATGTTTTTTTTTGCTTTCCTTCCTGGAACGTGGCTCCTAAGCTTCAATCGAGCTTGTTCTGAGGCAGTCACGATATTTTGTTTGTTTCTTTTTAGGGTGAGCAAGCCCCGCTGTCGGTGTTGAGGGAAAGGTATGGTGACGGTGAGGATGGTTTTGGAAGAGGACGTAACTCGAAAGCGTCCATTCGCACATGCACAGCGATCCACCATCCTTTGAGCCTCCCAAGTCTAGCTTTGTGTCATGAACCCAGTGTGCATGTTGGGCATCTTTAAACACTTGGGCAGGCGATATTTCAAATCGGTTATCGTGATCATTTGAGCTGGATTTGGAAAGCGTTCCAGGCGAGAATGATGTGAAACTGAGGGGTGTCAGGTTCCGAAACCAAAACCAATTTCGTATCGATTGAATCACCTCGAATTAGACTGGTGATGTTACCTGCTGAAGTGCTGATCATTTGATCTCTGGAAAGCAATGTTGTGCTGAGCCAGGTGTTATAGCCATGGCGGGGATGATGATGAGACTAGGCACACTCGGTTACGTCGATCAGGTTTTCATTCTGTTCGAACATTGATCATTGCTGTGCGCAATCGATGGCATCACACGTTTACGGTTTTCTTTTTGGCGCCAGGACGGTCGGTCACCTTTAGGATTTGTCCAGCTGGCCAGTCCGTGCCGTCGCTGCCTCGCCATTCGCTCGTTTCTGGCTGCTCGGGGGTTCAGAGCAAAGAACAAAAGGGCAGAATAGGATTCGGTTATGCATCCATATTCACGTCTTTGCGGTCGCATTAGGGCGCAACCGACCAACTGGAATGTTTCAATTTACTGACGGGATCGGTTGCTTCGATACCATCAGACTTGTCGCTGGGAGACGAATTAAGGATGGGGCTTTCTTCACGACGCCCAAAACCCAGAACTGTTACTTCGCGCTCGTTGTGTATCTTGGACAAGTAGTACTGAATGCGTGGGTTGGTGGACGACGACGACGACGACGACGACGATGATGATAATGATGATGGGCAAGTGAAGACAACCCGCAAAGGACGGGACCGAGGCTCTGGAAAAGGGATTTGAGAGCTTCATTATAATGGGGACTGGATCAGGATCCCTCCGCCTTGACTCGAGATGATCGGATCCTAAATCCGACGCAGGGCAGGGCTTCCGGTTCATTCCCTCCATCGGATCACGATATGGAGCCAAAAATGGACGCACCAGGGCAAACTCCAGAACTGCAATTCACACGCAACCCGAATGGAACCAAACCTGACTGTTGCAGCCAAATTTCGTCAGCAACGCCGACTCGCCATGCCGTGCGCTGTTCACACATGGATTGCAAACGCTGCAGCACCACCGCTCCGACATTTTGAGACTTATCTAGCACACCCCAAAGTAAAGGTTTAATGACTACATGTAGAATGCGCTTGTAAATCCCTTGTAGTACGTAGTCCGTGTTTCCCGTCATTACAACAAAAAGGGGGGCATGTCGCGATTGGCGATGGCGACGGGCCTGGACGGTGCCTGGTGACGGGACGGGCTTCGTTGTGTGCGGGTCAGATTCAGGGATTTCGCCAAGACCCGGGTACAAGGCTACTTAGGGTTGGGGTTGTAGGAGTGCACGTGGATGTGGATGGGTAACCGACCTCTGTTTTTGCCCTTGCCGTACTTTGGAGTAGCGCTCGTTTGGATCTCATGGACTCCCCGACACCTATGTTCTTTGCCAGCATGAAGGCAAAACAGGTGGACGCCCGCCGCCTCAAGGCTGCTGGGTGACCAAACTTTTCCAGACCATGTTCATTCTTGGTCTCCTCTTTCATTACACCACCCACACAGATGCTCACCACCACCGCATCCTCCCCGACGTTTCCATCGCATCAAGTCATCAACACCATCTCGCGCAACGCCGCCGCGAAATAAAAGTGCGACGCCAAAACTCCAGCGCCTAGACCGGGAGACAAGACCGACGCTGCTTGCTCCCTCCGCGTCTAGCGCCCGAGAGCCAACTGCCACCCCATCAACCACTCCATTGTGTGTGTGTGCCCCGTCACCGTCCAACCAGTGGATCGCCCAATTCCCGAACCGCGAACCTGGGCCAAGGCACCAACAATAAATCTATTTCCTCCAACCTCGCCGACGTTCTTTCCTACATCATCTTCACTTGCCGCAACAACCAACCTTGGAACCGTTTTGCCCACGTCCATTTATCAATCAGCCGTTAGATTATACTCACGATTTCAGCCTTACACCAAACAACTCTCGAGCAATGGCTCCTCACGTTAAGAGCAGCGCTACTCCCAAAGACCGACGAAAGTCGAACGGGGTCGGCGTCTCCGTGGCCAGCTCTAATGGCGCGTCGTCCAAGGTTGTCACCCTCGCCGTGAAACCAAAGAATCTACGTGCTATTGTCGATCCTGGTTATGTCAAAGAGGACACGCCAGTTCTCAAAGAGACCAACGATTCACCTGTCGACTCGGCCGTCATCCCTGCCGTCACGAATTCGGCCGCTGAGAATGCGTCCGACTCAAATGCAAACACTCCCGCGGCTGGTACCCCGGCGCCGCAGTCCGGCCCCATGGGCCCACCTACTGATGGGCTGAAGAAGAAGGGCGTTAAGCGGGCGGCAGGTGCTGGCGTGAATGGCAATGGTGAGGCCAAGGTTCGGGGCAAGCCGGGTCCCAAGAAGAAGCAGAGGCTGTGAGTACTCTTCCCTTCTGCACCTTTCTCCCTTTGCAGGTGAAGACTGACAACCACACAGAGACGACGGCACCATCGAGGGCGGCCGAGGCGGCTTGGCTGCGCACAAACTTGGACCCAAGGCTAACATGGGCGCTATCAACGCCGGTCTCCGAGCTCTTGATCGGTCTGGCAAGCCTTGTCGGAAGTGGAGCAGAGGCGGATTCACCCTCAAGAGTTTCACCGGCGTTGTCTGGGAGCTTCCGCGCTGGACCGCGCCGCCTAAGCCACGGCCGGAACTAACGGCAGAGGAACCCACTCCGGTTTCAGCATCAGCCGCAGGCAGCAGCAAAGAGAACATCGTTCCGGGCGAGAACGCCCAAGTCAAAAGCGAGTCAAGCAACAACGGGGTAGATGTCGAGATGCAGAACGCCCCTAGCTTTGCCGCCGCCAACTCAGCCGCGCCTTCACCGGGACCGACTCCAGCACCAGCAGCTGCATCAGTACCGACAGCCATTGCCGTATAGCTATCTCCGCTTGCAGCTCAAACTCTTCAGTTATATACATGAACGTTGCTGTCGAAGCTTGGCCATAGTCGGCTGGGCATCAAGGGTACGGTTGTTAAGAGCATTTGAGCATCGCACTGGGAGGAAAAGGAACAGGTTATGGGGGGCTATCCTCCCACAAAAGCTCGTTTGCCCACCGAGGCAGGAAGCAACACTTTGGCGTTTATGGCGTGTAAGCAGGGATGTGGAAGTGTTTTTTTTTCTTCTCGCTTTCTTTTTGTTTTTGTGGGAATTAGAGGTGTACATGGCCACAGCGAGGCCCGGAGTTGGCGTTTTGGTATTAGGGGTTTCTCTCACGTCTGATCGACGAGTGTTGCTTACGGGCTTCACTGGCGAGTGTCTTACAGCTTTAAGATGAGGACATCGCGACCTTTGTAAGCACCTATACCCGAGCATGTAATTGCTATTATCATTCCGGTAGTAATTGCGCGGTGTCGCGCTTGATTTCACCACATTATTGTTCTCCCTCAAACGGCTAATCGTCGTCACGATGAACTTGGGTACAACTCAAAGCTTTGAGAACCGGCCATGTGTGACTGAAAGGTATTGCTGTGGCGCATTTACATTCTTTGAAGGGATCTCGACATGACACAAAGACACACTTCGAAGAAAGCTGTCATGATCTGGTCAGTCAGATTCCGGCTCTGTTTCTGGAGCATCGCGCTTCGAATCGACATCTTCTCCAATTGTGTTCCACAGTGTCAACCTAGACAACGGTTTTTATCTTGGCACTGATTAGACCAAACGTTGCGTACGGGCCCTCTAAACCCATCAAAAACAAACGAGGCGTGGTGTTGTTGCTTGTTGCTTGTTAGCCAGTCACATCTGTAAGGAAGAAGATTCTGACCAATCAGATGTCGCTATGCCTCTGAAGGACTGAAGCGGTGCGAAACCAACTAAGACGGCAGGCAATGCAGACCCGTCGGTGTCATTGACTGCCGGCCGCCGGCATCTTCAGACAGGGGTATTGCTCACAGGTACCTGAGCTTCTCAGAAAGTCCATGAGAAGAGCAAAGTAACCTGATCAATTTAGACATTAAGATGGCTTCACTGTCACAGATGTTCACTTGAATTAGCATCCAATAAGAATCAGGATAGGCCTGTCCAACTGGATGCGTAGGTGACGGCAAGCTGAGGATACCGGAAGACATCGATATCTCTGACTACGGTGGATCATTCACCCCGCTTCATTCCTAGTGAGGATGTCATCCATCGTTAAAGCCACCGAACTTGCTCCCCTTCAGGTTCGTTGCTGCCACGGCAGCCGCGATGCTCAATGTTAATGTTGGCAACTACCAACAGGTCATTTCTTATACCACCAGACCACTCCTTAACTGTATCTATATTGTTTGTCGGTCCTATACCTGAGGCGAGGCAAATTAAAGATGGAATTAGGGAGGCATGTGTCCCGTCCTCTAGGTGAGTGACCCCAGCATGTGCCAGGTAGTAGGTAGGTACCTACCTAGGTAACCCACAATAGACTAGCTGGGCTGCTGACCTCACCCTAGGTGGTTCCCGCTCCATTGCGATAGAGAGGGAAAGCGGGACTGGGCACCTCGAGGGCCCTGTTGATAACAGCAACACCCACCTACCTACATAATAACGGGCGTGAACCTGCTCCCTCGCCCAACCTTTCATCCCTTCGAGCTCGACATCTCGCTACTTATACTCTCTAATGACAACTGGTTGACTTTTGAATATCTTACAAGGTGCTCAACCGCCGGCACTCACAAATTCACTGCCGCCCACTTGGCAAATCGGAGAGCAACTTCCAAGTCAGGCCGTTCGGGAAAGTGCGTACATGCGTGGAACGCGGTACTAGTACGCCGGTAGGTTCCAGCTCCAAGCACGACCATTTGCTGATTGTTTGAATGCTCACTCGTCTAATTATGACATAGCGGCCTTGGATTGCTCGTGCTCTGCAATTTCCATAACGAATCGCCTTCCACCTCCGTCATTCGCACACCACACCCACTCTACAGTACACCACATCGGTCCAAACCGCTCCCGAAGCCAGCATCCATCTACTGCCACAACCTGCATAAGGCCATCTATAGCTGCTGCTTCTTCTTCTTCTCTAGACAGACAGCTTCCACACAACAAAAAAACCATTCTTGGACAGCATCACATCGGCGACACACCTCGATCCCGCTTGATACTCCTCGGATATCGACCAGTTCCGGGAGGCCAGGTTCCTCGGGCAACAGCAAGCCAACCCAGTCCCCTGGGGCATTAACGGCGTTTACTCCGACCAACATACACCCCTCCGCCCTTCCTACTCGGTCGCTCAAATACTTCTCACACTATGACCAACCCAAACCCATTTCCACGCCGGATGTCTTCATTTGCCTCGGCCAATAACGGCTCTCGTCCCGTTCGATCTGCCGGCTTCTCCCACTTGCTGAACCCATCCCCCGACAGTGGCAGCCATGGGAGTGGCGCGAGCTCGCACGCCGGCGCGCCCTTCTCCTCACTCGATGCTGGCGCCGCACACTTAGGGAATGCCCCTCATGGGCTGGACGAGGGGCGTGGGTCGCATCGGACGTCTGGTGCTAACTTGCCCTCATTCTCTCGCGCCTTTGACATGTTCACGAGCAAGGAGCCGTTACTGGCGGGGCCGAATATGACGTACAGCGGAGTTGGGTCCTCGGCCAGTGTCAGCAAGACGGGTTTTCTTTTGCCTTCGTATCTGCGAGGATCCGGTTATCTAGAAAAGCTCGCAGAACAACACAAGGCCAAGCTCATGGCTGACAGAGAAACCACAATGTCCAAGGGGTCATCTGGAACGGTCTTTGCCGGGAATACAGGGAACATGGAAAGCAGGTCTGTGACGCTTCACACAAAGCTTCCATCCGGCATCCACAGAGGTGTGGCGTTGAATTTGATAGAGCGCCCCCCTGCATCAGCTGAATTCGAAGATGTCGTTAGCCCGCTCCCCACTCGATGGAACAGTGACGACAAGGACCATACTGTGGAGGTGTTTGGCGATGGTTACGAAGTAAAATACACAGGCTCAAAGGGATCAGAACACGAAGCCGGCGCGATACGAGCGGATAATCCCATGCCCATGCAGTGTGGTGTATACTACTTTGAGATCATGGTACTCAGCAAGAAGCGAGAAGAGTAAGTGTCACTTGGGCGTTAACGTCTCTTGGGCCTCCAGTTTGCTAAGCCGGTCAAACCGATGCTAACTTGACCGGGCCCGCATAGGAATATCATCGCTATCGGTTTCGAAACCCGAAAGGCGCAATTATCGAGGTTCCCGGGCTGGGAGGGGGAGTCTTGGGCCTATCATGGTAATGACGGAAAAATCTTTGCCTCGGGGAGCAATTCGGGCAGATCATATGGCCCAACGTACGGCGCCGGCGACACAGTGGGCTGCCTAGTAAACTTTCGGACAAATCAGGTCTTGTTCACGAAAAATGGCGAGGAACTAGGTATGCCTGACCGCAAGATTTGGCTATGTGGTGATGACTGACATTTGGTGTGTATAGAGATTGCCTTTAAGGACCCGAGCTTCAAAGATCCGACCAAAAGTTTTTATCCTGCCGTCGGGCTAAAAAGGCCCGGAGACCACATTTGGGTCAATTTTGGTCAAGTTCCCTTCCAGTACGACATCGACGGTTACATGAAGGTGAGGCTACTCTAAGGCATTGTCCACGCGATCTCGATGTGACATTAACGAGATATTATGCAGAAACAACAAAAGATGGTCACAGACAAGATCAGAAGCACGGATACTGCTAACCTCGCGCCCCCTCTAAACGATACCGAGCTCATTCAGCAATTGGTAAGTTTAACTGGGTCCCAGTCACATGGTACTTGAGAACTAACGGCTTCAAAAGGTGTTGCAATTCCTTCAACACGATGGTTATGTGGGAACTGCCCGTGCCTTTGCCGAAGAGATACATATGGAAAAGCAGGCTCTCAACATGGACGCCGACGTTCCCGTTGAGGGCGTCAATATCAAGGATGACGAAGATGCGAATAACAGGCAACAGATTCGCCGTGCCATCCTCGAAGGCGACATCGACCAGGCTCTCATCTACACCAATCAATTCTACCCCAAGGTGCTGGAGGAGAACGGTCAGGTATACTTTCGGCTACGCTGTCGCAAGTTCATCGAGATGATTCGAAGGGAGGCGGAAATGAACAGCTCACTACAAGAAGCCGGAGTGAAAGCTAAGAGCACATCTCAGGCTCGACACCATACTGGCAATGACACGCAACGAACGTATAGTCAGAACCCAGCCGGGGAGGACGAAATGATGACGGAAGGCGAAGAAGAGATGATGGACACCGAAGAGGATGGTAGCGAGCCGAGGACAGGCAATCCCGAGGACGAAACTATGGCGATGCGCGCTGCCGGAGTAAGCGAGCTATGTCAGGATGCCCTGGAATATGGCCAAGAGCTTCGTGATGAATTCAAGAACGACCCAAGTCACGAAGTCAGCAAACACCTTAACGAAATTTTTGCGCTCATGGCGTATCCAAATCCCCTCGAAGTCAAGGAGGTCGCGCACCTCCTGGATGGAAAGGGGCGCGTTGCTGTGGCTGAGGAATTGAATTCCGCCATCTTGAGTGAGTTCATTAAATCCCTTGCTTTTCCTTATTCCATACCATTGTGAATATTATGCTAACACTCTCTGTCACTCACAGCGTCCCTAGGGAAGTCTTCTCGCGCAGCCTTAGAGAACCTCTACGCCCAAACAACGGTCCTCCTCGAAGATCTTAGGAAGGACGGAGGCGACGGCGCGTTTGTCACGATCCAAAACGTTATCGACGACATACCCAAGGCACAGGTAAATTAGGATTTGGAAAGTACTTACAAGGCAGTTTGTCGGTACACGGATCAGATACGCAAACAGATGCAGGAGCAGAATCCTATTCTTCAGGGTCTGGAACCGGAACTATGGCATCAACTTCGGCATCAACTCCGGAATCCGGCTTTTGCACAGGGTATCATGGAATTGAACCCGGATATGGATCTGGATGTGGATGTGCCCGACCTTAATCGGACTCTTTTCTGAATGGTTAAGGGGGAAGTTCTGACGAAGTGATATACACCAGAGGAGAAGCATGGCAAGACAGAAGAAAAGGAGACAAAGGCCAGGAAGGAAAAACAAGAAGAAGGGGCGAAGAGCTCGAATGACATCAGCAAAGAGACTATAATTAGGTATGGGGTCGGCATGAGTTTCCACGACAAGCGCAACCACGTACGCACGCTGTGGTGGTCTCGTTTCGATCGTCGGGTATCTGGTATGGCTAGGAATACATGGCATGGCATAAATGGATGCAGCGTTGAGCGTTGAAGAACATGCATGCAAGGATTGGGATTGAGATTGGGTTGGTTCTTATAAATCGAGTAGAGCACCAGGCTAGGCATCATCATCATCATCATCATCATCATTATCGTTAGTCTCGCTGATTAACTCAGTACGTATGAAAGAGCAAAGAAGTGACTTGATCTGCTTGTTGCGAGCATTTGCCGCTCTGCACAGAAATCAATGGAATACATCATCGACACAAGCCACCTGATTCTCACTACTGTATTTGTGGTGTTCTCGGAACTACGGTAATAAATCTCATCTAACAATGCTTGCAGCAGCTCGACTCCAGGGTATCAGTCACCTCTAGCCACCACACGACAGCCAGGCCACATAGCAACGATGCTTGTGATGATAGGAATTATCTTGTTCACTAACAGCCAGGCCCATGGATATCATGATATTTCCCCATAAGATGACATCAGCAAGTCCTTGTAGCGGTAGTTGTGATCATCGACGTCATCTCTCCCCTCATCGTCTTCAACAACTTGTTTCACGGCTGGAGCAAGTAATGTTGCGAAGTAACATCTTTTCCCCGTATGTAGTGTACGCAAAAAATGCTCTACTTCTTCTTCACCTCTAAACGTCTGGTATGGAACAAAGTCCATAAAGGGAGGAGTAGTAACCGTCTATCTCTTGGCCGCGCCCAATCCCTACGCTAACAACCAAACCAGCCAACAGCCTCGTCGCGTTCATCCTCTGGAAATGACAGGAGAGGGTGATAAGCATGTTCCACTTATGAATGGTTCCCGTCATCCCACTAGTGAGCTGGTAGACCACTCATCAGATCTTCCTCCTCCTCAATGTGAAATGACGACTCTTCGAAGCCACCACCTGTGCTCTGAAGACCAAGCTTGTGTTCGCGAGCCGCGTCAAATTGTCGTTTAACCGTGTGACTAATGTACTCGCGGTTGCTGGCCAGGCGCTTGTTGGTTGCCTCAATGATGGGCTCCAGAGCCTTGATGCCCTGCATCACTTTGTTCACCTGGGCCGAAAACTCCACCTCGGACATGCCCTGCGCGGGCGACGACAAAAAGGTCAGATAGGCTGGGCTGCCGTCCTTTGGGCGCTCGATGGCGCCCTGCAGACTCCCGTCGGCGATCATGCTTTGCACGAGCTGATCTACCGCCTCCACGGTCGGTAGCGGTGCGCCTGTTTCAGCACTCTGTGTCCGTTCCTGGATTTTCTCAAGGGAGATGTTAGTGTAGATATTGCGCAGGTTGATGATTTGCCACCGCTGATAGTGGGCCAGCACCAGCTTTGCGAGCTCGACGTTCCCCTCGTTGGGTAAGAGCTCAGAATTGATAACTTCAAATTCTCGGACCAAATCCCCGGTGGTTTCTGATTTGAAAGCCTGAGCGAACAACTTGTAGGGTTTTCCCTGGGTTGCGAATATCTTCTTTGCCGCTTGCGAGGTCGTTTCCGGTAGTGTTGGCGGCTTTCCGGTCAGGAGCAAGCCGACAAGGATCCATTTGTTATATGCCTCCGTCATGATCTTGCTGCAACCGCCGTCCCGCGTCGGATACGTGACACATCGTTCAAAGGCATCAAAGGCTTGCTGCCACATCCGGCGCTCTATGAAGCACAGGCCGCATAGAAAATCGTACTGAAGCACGGCGGCGCTGGTAAGAGCGTCGGTGAGCTGGCTGTCGGGGTTGATGTATGCTGGTGGAGGGAGAGACATGTCGCAAAGAGGCTGGGCTGTCGACATGCCCTTGGCCGGCATATAGATGATAGGTTTCTCGATCAGAGGTAGTATTGCTCCGACATTGCCGGTATTGTATGCCAGTTCGACCAGACTGCAGTGGTGGGATGTGATGATAGAGCCTGAAGGGTCGAGTCTTAGGAGGGCAGTAGTGCCCAGCTCGACGGCAACAGAGGCCTGTCTTCGAAGTCAGCAACGGCAGCGATGCGGAAAGAAGTATGGAAACCCTACAGGAAACAAGCCGCGTTCGTTATACGCCTCCTTGAGAACATCTGACCAAGTGCTTCCCTTGCATCGTATTTGGCGAGCATCGAACTGGAGGAAGAACTGGGCCATATATGATGCCAAGCTCTCATGTGCCTGCTGAGAAGTCCACCCGGGTGACTGTAGTAGATATTCGAGGATCATAAGATATGAGAGGGAATAGACGGCGGGGTTGACATGCTACGCAAACGTTATCGGGTCAGCTGTTTGGACGACTCTGTACAACGGACACTCCAGGTTTGGGGAAGTACGATGTACCTACCTTTAGAATATCGTCGGCGGACTCCCTTATCCACTGCGCATTGTCACGGATGAGTTCTCGCACCCTCTTGGCATGTTGCTGACTGTTTTGGTAGTATTCCTCGTTATCAATCCCAGCGGCCGGTGGAAAGGCCGTCAGGACCGTAAGGCGTGTGTCCATGGCTCGTTGTCTTGATATGATACGGGAATGCTGGCGGACTAAAAGCTTGACGGTAGCAAGGAGGAGGACGATTAATCGCGGTGGTACTGATTGGATTTCAATGGCCCAGTGCAACTCGAAGAAGCGTCGCCAAAGCTGCGCGGCGCAGGGAGGGTAGCTGGTGCCTGTGCTGGTGCTTCTGGGGTTTCGAGGCAAGAATGCCAGTGACGCTGATGGCTGGGTAATATACTGATGACGCCGTGTATCGATCGATAGGTCACAAGATGTTTGTGTCGAAACGGATAAACAGCGTAAAAAAAACAATCGGCGGCTTGTAATATGGGAATCGGCGGTTATGGTTTGGATGGATACTGTGGTTGTAAGTAGCAAGGTAAAATCAAGAGCACCTTTGCGGCCTGCCTTGGTGTAGGTAGTGGTGGTTGTGGTCGGTGCAGTGCGCTGGGGCTCAACTCAGCTGTCAGTTCCAAAAGGAAAGCTCCCCGCGATTTGGACAACTGGGGTGGAGACCTACATACTGCAAATGCTGGGATGAGCCTGGTCCGGGTGCTGGCTAACAGAGAGCATGATTGGCTAGGTAAGTACTTTTGCAAAGAAAAGTGGAGTTTTAGCCACGGCTTGTCTGCTCAGCCTCAGTGTGGCTTGCATTGTTGGTTGAACTTCACACTTGCACGTCGCCAGGCTTCAGTCTCACGATACTTCAACGTCACGCGTGATTGTCATTCTGGGCTTTCTAGCGCTCCTGAGTCATGATCACACATAACACCACAGCTGAAAGCACACCCCCGCTGGATCATGCAACATGAGCGAGCGCTATACATTTCATATCATCTTCCACGCACGGCAGGGAATAATCACCCCCCCCCCCCCTTTGAAGCTGGCTCACTCATCAAAAAAGTGATAAGACCAACGACTCTTAGACCAATCTTCAGAACACCCTGAGCGAGCGTCCAGGGAGTTTCACCCCAAGCGAGTATTGAGGGATTATCTAAGGCCCAGGGATCTCACCACGCCTGTATCTCTTGCTTCTGCACCACACATCACATTCTGTCTCGAGGTTTCCTTCAGTTATCCCCCATTCCCCATGTGAACTTGTATAAACTAATTCTCCCAGATTTCCAAACCAATTATCCATACTTAACGGCCATGCCCCAAACGATAAAGGAAAACAAGATCAAAAAAAAATGCTTCGCATATATCACGTCCCAAAGCAGAAATCGCCGCGACTGGCCAAGTGGCTGGTCGCTCGTTGGCGGCCATGGTCGTGGGCTTGAACTTGTTGGCCACATGGATCCAGTCTCGGGGAAAAAGCGAATAATACCCGGTCGAAAGGTAGGTTAGTTGCATCATTTTACCAGAGTACATGGACAACCCTTCAAGTTGTAAACCGCCCGAAAAGGGGTGAGTGTCCTCCCTTATCCATAACTCTACCTTCTCCGACTAGCCTTGTTGTTGTCATTGCCGCTGTCTAAACCGGGGGGTTTAACGGTTACCCAGGCAACACCAGACAGCCAGCCAGCCAGCGTGCCATCGTTCTTGTTGTCCAGCTGTGTACCAATGGAAGCAACTCACAGGGGAAACTACTCCTGGTTAGTGTCCCGAGACCACTTCCAGAAATTCTCCCCATCCTCGTAAGCCGATCCCATCCACTGAGCTGCTATGCCGCCACCGCCGCCTTCGGCCTGCTGCTGCTGCTGCTGCTGGTGTACCTGGGCCTGGACCTGGACTCGAGCTCCTCCCCCTCCCAGGGGGCCGCCCTCCTCCTTGCCCTCGTTATCGGAGCTGTCGGGGGTCGTGGTGGTTGGAAGGAGGCGGTAGGAGTGAGGATGGGGGGGAAAGCCGGGAGGAGCATCGATGCGGCGATAGCTGTTGATAATGCTGGGATTGCCGCGAGGGTCGCGAGGTTGAGGTTGGGCGGGTTGTCCGATGGGACCGAAGCGGCAGGGGCCTTGGCTTAGGATCTGGGGGCCTGTGGGAGGAGCGTCTTTGTTAGTCACGGAAAGCAAGTGACACGATTCACGAATCTCATTTGGCTTACCGGTAGGGATTGGAGAGGGTCCTGAAGAGCCACCTCCAACACTCGGACGCCAGTTGTTCAACTCCCGAGGACTCGAGCTTTTCTCACGCTGATAACCACCGCCTCCGAAGCTCTTTGCTCCCATGCTGTTCGTGGCGGCGTGAGCCTGACCTCCCACCCCCATCGCCTCACCCCCACTACCAGATGCCGACCCTTGATCAGCCGAGCCTCTGCGCGAGATCGGACTTCCAGAAGCCGTAGTCAGAGACCGACGACGATGGGGAGCGCCACGGAGCGCGGTCAGATCGATGGGTCCCTTGCTGGTGCTCGACTCATCGTTGCTGACCAGCTGCTGTCTCTGCCTCATCAGCTCGGCTTGCTGCCGCTTGTACCAAGCAGGCAAGCCGTGGAACAGACCGAGCATGTGCTGAGTAGCCCTGTCATAGGGCATCTCATGCTTGTACTTGCAGCCCTGCTGGGTGAAGGCACAGGTACCCTCGTGCACCCACTTGTCGCAGAAAATCTTGGCTCGCTTGGGGCCTTGGCCGTGAAGAGGAGGGGGGGTCAGGTAGGCGGTTGCGGTGGCCTGGTGAGTGAGGCTCGTATTAGCTGCAGGACTGTGGCTGGCCAAGACGATTGAGTCGATCTGCGACTGCGGTAAATCAACTTGTCAGTCGTATACCCAGCTTTGTTTGGGTGTGATGTGAGGGTGTGTCTCATATGGATTGAGTACAACATTCTTTTGCTGGCCGGAACTAACTGTTGTAACACTGTTGGGGCTGTATCGTAGATTTCTACATACCTGAACGGCGTCACTCCGCGCCACCTGAGTCTGAACCGGTTCCACGTTGGTGTTGCGCTCGTCGGCATCCAAGGCCTGGGGAAGCTCAAGAACGAACAGACGAGAGATGTCCGACTCGTAGGCGGGCACACCCACGAGTGGAGGAAGCATATCCGCTGGGACCAGTCTCGTGTAGCGGCCGTTTCCGCGGTCGTAGGCGTAGGCGTAAAACTGATGGGGATATTGCGGCCGCGTGTTCCGGCGAGCCTGTTGCGCTCTCTCCTCCTCTTCTTGCTGAAGTCTTTGCCTTTCGAGAAAGTACCGCGTGTTCTGCGTAAAGGGGACGTGAGAGACGACAGTGTCTACTCTGGGAGAAGACTTAGTGGTAACGACGGCAGTTTGACGAGATTGTTCCCATTCCGGGCTGGACTCCTCTGACTTAGCAGCCTCTGTTGCGGACTGATTTCTGGGAGGAGTCGGGGCAAAGTCCATGCTCATTGGGGAGGCAGGCAACCCTCTTTGGAGTCTCCAGTGCATGTTGAGATCCCTTCTCTTGATGGCGATAGGCGAATGGGGCTTTGGGATCTCGCTGACTGGAGAGTTCTGGTTTGGCTCCATGATAACTGAAGGCCTGAAAGGAAGGGATTGTGAAAAGAATCAGCCAGCTCTATAATAACGCGTGAGTGGATGAACCGTTCTAGCTGTGACCACAAAGAACACTCTGAAGCACCAGAGTGCTAGAAAGAAAAAGCTGAAAATTCGGGGTTCTAGGTGTTGAGAAGCTGGAGCTTTGAGCTAGTTCGGGCACTGCAAATGTTGATCCAGAGATTGAGTCGGACTCAGCTTGGTGGGTGTTGAGAGGAATATTAGTAGCAGCGGAGTAATAGTCGTGTTTGGCTAATCCATCCATGCCGAGTCTAAGAGGGGAAAGCAGTAGGGTTTGATAGCGGACCGGATCAAGGATGTGAACGATACAGGAAACACTGATGGGATGATTAGCATGACGCTGAATCCGCAACTGTGAGTGTCACATGGGTTTGACCGCCACTGAAGACGGAAGCAAAGCAGAGAAACGCTTAGCAAAGAGCGTGAACAAAATGAAAACACGTACCATCAACGATGTCAACAGCCCAGTGGCATCAAGCTGGCCACCCCTTGATTCCCAGCAAACGAGGGACCTGGGTGAACGTTGGAAGATCCGGGGTATCCGTCACAATATTTATACCGCCTATTTATCTGCGGAGCTGCGTCTCGAACGAAGAAAAACTGGAGCCAAATGGCGGATGGCGAGCAGCAAGCCGTTGAAGGTGTGTGGCAAGCAGTAGCCGGGGAAGAATGACCTGGCAGCCCGAGCCAGGGACATGAGGAGGTATATCATAGGCGACCGGGAAGCAAAGAGCAAAGGTTGGGAGCCGCAATCAAGGCATCTAGACACTCTGGGGGTGGATCTCCAAGAAACAGATGGTGAAGCGGGGTGGTGAAAAGGACGTTGAGTGACGGACTACCTTTTTTTCTACCCTGTCTGCCTTTCCGCCTTCCGTCTACAGGGCTTGCCCAGTCGTCGTCCTGAAGTGTCGTTGATGTTGCGTTCGAGTAGTGTGGTTGGGTACGGTAGTTAGGCACAGGTCCGCTTCCCTGGGATTGGTTAGAGGCTAGGTAGATGTGCGGATAGATGCTTGATGATTGCAGTGATGTTGGCTTGCATTTTGCGGATGCGGCGAAGCTAAGGGGGCCACGGGGGATGTGACACTGGTACATACATGCTTTCCTGAGTAGCACAAAGTGGCCGCCGGACTGGACGTACAACAGAACGATGTGGCTTGTGAATCATCGGTAAGCAGGTCTACCTATGAAGAGCAGTGTGGTAGCAGCCAAGTTGAGTTGAAGATGAGAAGAATCCGTCTATGAAGGTGACAGATTTGGCCTGACCTTGACCAAGGACAGGTAGCAGTGAAGCCAAAAACCTCCGAGTAAACCTTTCGACGCACCTCGAACTCAACCCTCCAACGCTATTCCAATATACTGTATAGCGTCAAGGTGTCGATATTATGGCAACAAGGAGAGTGATTCTAGATATCCCAGCTGTTTCGCTCCACAGGACCAGGTGTTCTTTTGGGAAGACGGCAACCTTGTTCCGTGGCTTCCTTCCGCCCAACGCAATTACAGTGTTGCGGAAGGTACCTACCTAGGGATTATCAGAATGTGTTGTGGTTTTGTCGACACTCGTTTACGTTAGCCTGTGTCGCATTTCCTCCCTCTTCCCGTTGGTACTCGTGTACTCCTACACTCGTGTGATCTTCAATATCTGCCGTACCATACCACACAAACGAGCCGCAGCAATGTCGACAGCATGGACCATTGTTGTACCTACTCTATATTGCCGCTTTATGTGGTGTTCTTTATTATCTCTCCTTCACGCCCTAATTCTGAACGGCACAGGGACAAGAGAGGCAAAGCGACATGGGCTGTGAGGTCTGCAATAGCGCCAAGAGCCCGGAAAAAAAGAAAGAAAAAAAAAAGTATGCGAACAAACGGAAGACCCTAAAGAAGCAACATCAACGGGAAGTATGGAGGCTACTTTCTGCGGGAACTTGCATCTTTCCATGTTCTAACTCCACGTGACAAACAGGGGAAAGCCACAACGCCATGGCGATGATGAGCGACGAACCAATCTTCCTCAGAAGGTGGGACACGCTCTTTGGATCTCTCTCCCATGAGGCCCGGCTGCCTGATGTTTGTGCCCATGGTCATTAATATGGAGAGACAAGGACTCCCATTGGGCTTGGAGTAGCACAAACCTCCAGCGTTGTTGTCCGGTGAAAAGTTCGGAATTGCTGATATTGACAATCAGGTAGGCACACAATAACCGCCATCTTTCGGTAACGACTCATCGGGGGTGTTCTTTAGCTTGTACACTTATTCAGCTGTCAGAAAAAGTCAGCATTGCTTCGAGTTTCTGTCTCTCTCGACGCAATCTTCCAGCTATTAGTAAGGGAATAACACTGCTCTGTGTCCACTGATTTTTAACTGCCGCCTAACTGATCATTGACTTTTTTTTTTTTTTTTTTTTTTTTTTTTTTTTTTTTTTTTTTTTAGCCCAGCGGATGAGCTGATGGGTGCAAAGAATGACAACCATACTCGCTGATTATCTCATACAGACTGTCCATGACCCTATCGAAGTTTGGGGAAGGGGACATGTGCGCGAACAAGACAGACGGAGAGTGTAGCGACAAGCATGACGCTCATCGATTGGACGGGCAAAGGGTTTTTTTTTTTTGTTTTTTTTTTTTGGAAAGGTATGTTGCTATGCTAACGGGGGAAGTTGGGTCTCTCATTACTTGATTCTCGTCGTGCCGAAATGCAGACTCATCCGATGAGGAGTCAAGAGCTGGCTGCCTTGCTTGGAAGGCATCCTTAAGAGAAATCTGTTCGAGACATTTGAGGTGATGGCAGCAGAGGTACACACCATCACGCATCGCTCGAGTTTGATGAGGCAAGCACACTCATTTCTCAACACTATGCATCCCATGGTTATCCTGCTTTATTACTGGCTACATGGCGCTTGTTGTTTGATGGTGAGCATCATAGGTATGATTCTTCCCCTCTCAACACCATCGAGCAAAGCCCAAACAAGCAAGCATCATCTGATTTTCCCATACCCTTCTAGAACTTTTCATCCATACCTGAGAGGTTGAGCAAGCCGCGGTCATCACAAACCACCTGGCTCATTCACTCAGTGAAATAGGCAGCAGATAGCAAGCAAGAGAAAAGCAAAGCCGAATATAAGAGTGGTTGAGTAACTACAAGTCATAACTCAGACAATCCAACCAACAATAACCAACCCATCCCTTTAATCCATTCATCGCCCCAAAGGTATCACGGGTAAGCCAGCCAGTCGCCTTCACTATGACGGAGGAACCTGCGGTGGTTCTTGTCCTCCTTGCCTCTGCTGGCCCTGCTGGCCCTGCTGGCTCAGCTGACCCTCCTGAGTCTGTTGACCCGACTGCTGCCGCTGTTTTGCCCTTATAGCTTCTTCCTTCCTCTGCTGCACCACCCTCAACATCTCGAGCAAGAATTTACGCTTAATTTCCATTCTCTCCGGAGTCTGGTGTGGTATGAGCCTAAGATTATCCAGCGCCAGCCGAAGAGGAACCTCTTGGCTCATCTCGGGACACATCCACGTAGGAGGGTGTACGAAGCCGCAGACGAAGCAGGAAGTGTGCGGAACACCTGGCGGTACGGGTGGGCCTTGGTTAGACCAGAGAATACCGGGTTTGGGCTGTTTATTGACGTCTGAGGGGAGGTTGTTAGGCTGTCGGTTAGGGTTCAGATTGGGAAGACCGTTAAGAGATGGTGGCCGAATTCTGGCTCCAGTTCCAACTCCGGCTCCTGGTCTGGGGACGAGAATAGGGGTGTTGGAGGTTAGTTTGGATGCCCCGTTGGGGTTGCCGTTTGGTCGGTGAGTGGAAGGGACGGGCCTGGGGTGAACGGCAAGGTCACCGCCGATGGCATGGGAGGGCATGGCAAGGCCGCCGGAAGCGGGGATTTGACCTTGGGGGGTGTTGAAATCGGCAATTCGGTGGACTTCTTGGTTGTGGCTGCTAGGTCGGGGGGGCTTAGGTGGGCGGCCTTTTGGGTTTGGGGCTGCTGGTCCGGGAGCGGGCGCAATTTGGACGACGAGTTGGTTTTGGGAGCCTTGCCTCGAGCGGGTTTGCTGGGGGTGCCGGGGGTCCGAACTGTCTTGGGCGTCTGCTGTTTACGTGAGCGGGGTGTCTTGCTTGTTGAAGACGAAGAAGATGATTGAAGAGGTGGCTTCTTTTGCCGACTAGCTCTAGACTTGGGGGTAGAAGCTTTGGCTGAAGTGGCCGGTGTGTTCCTCCTTGAGGCTGCGACCACTGGAGCTTTCGTCTTGTTTTTGGTTGGGGTTTTAGTTTTCGTACCTTGTTGCGCATTCCTTGCCTGTGACTTGCGTGAGCTGCCTCCGTTGGGTAAGAACTCACCGTGGGGGCTGTTCCCATTCTCATTACCGGTTGTTTCCCCATCGCTATCATCACCGCCCATGAAGTCACCGTCCTGGTCACCACGGTCACTCTCACCTCCTTCCTGACCTTCTTCAAACTCGAACTTGGGTCCGCGGTAGTTCGCCGTCTACTCAAGGGTTAGCACGGTCAAGAAAGCACATCGCTAAACTGATACCACCTACTCCACGTCGTCGGCCACCTCGTCCCAAGGCCTGCAGTTCCTTCTCCCTTTCGAGGCGTGCCTCTTCTTCTCGTTGCTGAAGAATCTGGTCCCAAACACTCATGGTTAATGCTTTTTGTTCCGTCTCCACGTCATCCTTCAGCCCTCCCTCATCTTGTGCCCAAACGCGGGCAAAAGCAAAAGCAGACTCGGCAGACTTGTCGCCATCTTGCTTCGTTTCTTCCTTGGCTGAACGATCGAGAAGCTTATCGATTGCCGCTTCATCATATACGATTCTGTCCTTCTTGCGTCCCTCGCCAAACAAAGCAGCAGCTCCGTGTTTAAGCACCGTCTCCACATCATTAGCAGCCTCGCCTTCCTTGTCGTCCATGGTCTCAATCAGCAGATGATCAAGAGCCATCTTTTTACGACCAATCTGCAGAATCTTCTCCTCGGCAGAGTCGACGGTCATGAGCTGGAAGCAGAGCACTTTCTTCTGTTGACCGATACGATGAGCTCTCGAAAGCGCCTGGATATCCTGATGCGGATTCCAATCGGGATCGAGGATAATGACAGTGTCGGCAGTCGCAAGGTTGATACCGACACCACCAGCACGGGTTGACAGCAGCATGCAGAATAATTGGGAGTCCGGTGCATTGAAGGCATCGATCCTTTTCTGCTTTTCCATACTAGATTGACTTCCATCAAGTCGTTGATACGGAAGGTCCATACCCGCGAGGAAGTCTTCAAGGATTGTCAACTGGTCGAGGAACTGACTGAATATCAAAACTCTGTGTCCACGCTCCCTCAGTTTAGGTAGCATGACTTCAAGCAACAGAAGCTTGGAGGAGGCCTCGATAAGGTTTCGCTTGGTGACTTCTGGTGACAAGTTCCGATCTTCGATCGACTGACTGTAGACGAAGGGATGGCAAAGACACTTGCGAAGCTGCATGAGAATGTTGCTCAACGAGCCACGGTCCTGTGACTTCAGCTTTCCGTTGGCGGAGAAAATCGCGCGGATGAGCTGGGGATTGCGCTCCATGATCGACTTGCAGAGCTTTTCCTGCAAGACCGTCATGCTCACTGGTAAAATGATCTGGGCCATCGGCGGCAGGAAGGTGAGTACCATGGCCTTGGTACGCCGAAGGAAGTATGGCCTGATCAGCTCATGAAGCTTCGGAAGATTTTCCTTGGTGATATCCTTGAATTCCTCGTCAAGTTCCTCCGCTTTTAGCTTCGGGTCAATAAACTGCAAGAGATTGAAAAGCTCTCGCTTATTGTTCTGCAACGGTGTGCCCGTGAGCAGAAGCTTGAAGGGGATATTCATGACTGAGAGTGCTTTGTAAAGACTGTTCTCGTCATTCTTCAGTGCTTGCGCCTCGTCAACGATAAGACCAGCCCATTTGACGGAGCTGAACCGACTACGAGTGTCAGTGTCTTTGATGGAGTCGTAAGACATGATGACAACGTGCGCCTTCATGTCCTTAGTCCCACCCGGAAACAGCTCATATTGAAGAGCCAAAGTTTGGGAAACCCGCCCGCCGTAGTAGGCCACTACCCGAAGATCAGGGGCCCATTTCTTGATTTCACGACGCCAGTTGGCGCACGTTGCGTTGGGAACAACAATCAAGAATGGCCAGATTTTGGGGTTATCCTGGATCATGCTGGAGAGCAAAGCAACCACCTGAACAGTCTTTCCAAGACCCATTTCATCGGCAAGAATAACGCTGCGGTCATGGCGGAAATTGTAGAGCATCCAGTTGAGACCCTCAAGCTGATAGGTCATCAGCTTGCCACGAGTAAGTCCGGGCGGTTGTTTTTTGACCTCAATGGCACCGTTGAACTCCATCTGCCTGAAGGCTTCAATACGTTCCTTCTGATTACGCCATGGCTCTGACTTGAAGTGCTTGCCGTTCAGATATTCCCGATAGGCCTCAAGATAGGCGTCATACATGGAAGAGTCCGCAGGAGGTGGAGTGTCCCAGACAGCGTCATCGTAGCCCAACCCTTCAAATTTGACGAAGATCTTAACCACGTGAAAGATCCGGCTCAAATCGTACTCCATCCTGTCGGCAAGCGACATTGCCTTGTACTTCTTTGTGTCTTCGATCGACTTGGCAGCATATTGCACATCGAGGATGATATCGGGGGTCAACCATGAGTCGTGAATGGCATCTT